GAAAGCCACCCGATCAGTACGATCAGTAATAGGACCACCACTGAGATGTAGACCAGGAACACTGAAACATGAATAGAAAGATCAGAAACGATGTTTGATAATGTTTGTTTTTGGTAATGTCTGAGAGTGAGTTAAGGATATTCCACCACACATGATTATGAAGCAGCATTAAGACATTTCAGACAAAACAAATGGAGCTTTAAATGTTAAGTGTCGTCTTTTGTTCATTGCTATACAAAAGCATTACTGCTATATAGTTTTTGGTTTGAACTGAACCAACACTAAACTGACTTGATCTGAACAATAACACTGTTGTCATTTAGAGCTGCATTACAGCAGAATCTGAACTGTCTCCATAGTTGAGTTTCCATAATTGATTCTGCTATTTTTCCTGTTTATTATTGTGAAACTTCTTTGACATGATCTGTATTGTAAAAAGCACTATACAAATAGAGGTGACTTGACTTGATAACTACAAAAACAGATCAGAAAAGAGTTGCAGATGCTCTTTTTCACAGTAACCTACATTACACTATTTGTAAGTATAGGCCCTTTTGAAAAAAGTGATTTGCACAAAAGTCCAATAATGGTTTATTTCTGTAACTTTGCAATTCATTTATGTCAGGTATCCTTTGTGTGAGTGTTGTGTTATCAGTCCTAATTTCTATAATTTTATCATGATTTACTCACCCCTGTATCATTCCAAACCTGTATGATTTTTTTCTTCAGCAAAGCACGAAAGAAGATATTTTAAATAATGTTTGTAGGAAAACAGTTTTGGTTTCCATTGACTGTAATTTTATTTTTTGTCCATAAAATAATAATCAATGTGAATTAGAAACTGTTTGGTATAACAATATTCTTTAAAATATCTTCTTTTGGATTTCGCATCCGTTTAACCCCTGGGCTACCACTGAGAATAGATGAATTATGGCTCCACCAGACATGTTTTTCATACCTGGGTCCATCAGTCTCTCCTCTAGTTCTGCTCTTGATGTGACATTTTCATTCTTGGGTGAGTGAATGATGAGCACAACTGAACCACAACAGCACAAAGCGCAGCCAAGTTTCCCTATGAGATTGAGATGTTCCTGAAGAAGCCAGGATGCCAGAACGGCCCTGATTAATGATGAATAAACAAAATCACATAAATCATTCCATTTCACAGTAAAGGTGCCCTGATATGCTAATGTAAATGTAACATAGATGTCAAATGTTGTTGTTGCTTTAATAATTACTTTGAAATTGCTCAGACCACTGCATCAAATGCATTTAAATTAGAGTAGAATGCCTTGAATATGCTATAATAAAGAAATTCACCCAAATAGGACACCAAGGGCTCCAAGGGGAGTGACCACAACTGCAGGGGCAACATTGTATGCCAGAAAATTTCCTATTTGTCCAACGATCACTATAAAAAAAGGCATCAATACACACTTTTAAACAACCATTACTAACAATTTATTTGTAGTAGTAGTAGAGGAAAGACTCACTTGCAAGTGTACCACACCACCACACACAGTCAGTCAGGTAAGTCCCACCTGTATCAACATACAGCAGATCATTCTTTAAATATTAAATCTGGACTTTTTTCATCTGGACAGGAAGTGTAACTTTGCTTTGGGACCGAATATGGGGATAATGGTCCTTTGATGTGAAATACCTGATTTGCGGGCTCGCAGTATCCCCTTCTTCTGTAGTACAAACGTGGATCCATTGATAAAACTGGACACGACAGCAATCACAACACCAACTACTGGGAATGAAGCCTGGTCCATAAATGTATGCGATTGTATGAACGGTCAATGTCAGACTTTAAATCACTCTTTGATTTTACTGCTGCTGCTGAAGCCCTCATAGGCCTGTCATGTTGTAGGCTTTGTTACTCGACTACAAAGGCAGGCACACAAACATATGAACCGATGTTCAGTACATCCCGGAAGTATATTCCCAGGAGTTACTTGACAAACGAGCGACCTCTACTGCAGAGAGAGAGAGAGAGAGAGAGAGAGAGAGAGAGAGAGAGAGAGAAAAAAAATTGTATCATTCCAAACCTGTATGATTTTTTTCTTCAGCAAAGCACGAAAGAAGATATTTTAAATAATGTTTGTAGGAAAACAGTTTTGGTTTCCATTGACTGTAATTTTATTTTTTGTCCATAAAATAATAATCAATGTGAATTAGAAACTGTTTGGTATAACAATATTCTTTAAAATATCTTCTTTTGGATTTCGCATCCGTTTAACCCCTGGGCTACCACTGAGAATAGATGAATTATGGCTCCACCAGACATGTTTTTCATACCTGGGTCCATCAGTCTCTCCTCTAGTTCTGCTCTTGATGTGACATTTTCATTCTTGGGTGAGTGAATGATGAGCACAACTGAACCACAACAGCACAAAGCGCAGCCAAGTTTCCCTATGAGATTGAGATGTTCCTGAAGAAGCCAGGATGCCAGAACGGCCCTGATTAATGATGAATAAACAAAATCACATAAATCATTCCATTTCACAGTAAAGGTGCCCTGATATGCTAATGTAAATGTAACATAAATGTCAAATGTTGTTGTTGCTTTAATAATTACTTTGAAATTGCTCAGACCACTGCATCAAATGCATTTAAATTAGAGTAGAATGCCTTGAATATGCTATAATAAAGAAATTCACCCAAATAGGACACCAAGGGCTCCAAGGGGAGTGACCACAACTGCAGGGGCAACATTGTATGCCAGAAAATTTCCTATTTGTCCAACGATCACTATAAAAAAAGGCATCAATACACACTTTTAAACAACCATTACTAACAATTTATTTGTAGTAGTAGTAGAGGAAAGACTCACTTGCAAGTGTACCACACCACCACACACAGTCAGTCAGGTAAGTCCCACCTGTATCAACATACAGCAGATCATTCTTTAAATATTAAATCTGGACTTTTTTCATCTGGACAGGAAGTGTAACTTTGCTTTGGGACCGAATATGGGGATAATGGTCCTTTGATGTGAAATACCTGATTTGCGGGCTCGCAGTATCCCCTTCTTCTGTAGTACAAACGTGGATCCATTGATAAAACTGGACACGACAGCAATCACAACACCAACTACTGGGAATGAAGCCTGGTCCATAAATGTATGCGATTGTATGAACGGTCAATGTCAGACTTTAAATCACTCTTTGATTTTACTGCTGCTGCTGAAGCCCTCATAGGCCTGTCATGTTGTAGGCTTTGTTACTCGACTACAAAGGCAGGCACACAAACATATGAACCGATGTTCAGTACATCCCGGAAGTATATTCCCAGGAGTTACTTGACAAACGAGCGACCTCTACTGCAGAGAGAGAGAGAGAGAGAGAGAGAGAGAGAGAGAGAGAGAGAGAAACAATATCTAATAAAGAGTAATCTAACAGATAAAGTTGTCCGCGTTTGAACACAAATAAAAACAGTGTAATTATTATATTTAAACATGATGTATTCTTGCATTATCTGAGTTTCACGATGATGCCAATAGTAAAAATATCAAGCTTCAAGCTGTTTACAGCAGGTGGCGTTATAATATCAAGAAAGACTTACATCTTGAGATTTGTGACCGAGGCTGTCAGTCCAGTGCGGGTGAGTAAATTATGACAGAATTTTTATTAGACATTGGAACATTTATTTTATTAACGCTAATTTACATTAAAATTATTGGATCACCTTCGGTTAATTAACATTTTTTTTAATACTTTACTTTGACTTTAAAACTATGGTGATGGTGATGTGAAATTTATGGATAATAAATGATTTTATACATATATGCAAAAAAAAAAAAAAATCTTATTTGCAGAAGAAATTGATGATCTTCAAATCCCTTAAAAATACATTTTTTAAAAAGACATAAAATTAAACTTTTTAAAATTGTATTTACCTCATTCTTTTATATCATCATATCATGTTAATCATATTAATTGTGAAACCATATCGAATTTAAGAATTCATTTTTCAAACATCATGAACATTTAAAGGAACCTAGTGTAATTAAAAAAGGAAATGAAATGATTAAAAACTTTTTTAAAAATCGCGACCAGTCACCAGTCAGAACTGAAGATGATTTCCCTTAAACATTATTAGAAATTCTAGCCTAAAATTATAAAATATATATATTATGCGTCAACTCCCCATATAGGCAAGTCCAAGAAAATAATGCTTATTTCTTGAGATTTGTGACCGAGGCTGTCAGTCCAGTGCGGGTGAGTAAATGATGACAGAATTTTTATTAAATAGACATTGGAACATTTATTTTATTAACGCTAATTTACATTAAAATTATTGGATCACCTTCGGTTAATTAACATTTTTTTTAATACTTTACTTTGACTTTAAAACTATGGTGATGGTAATGTGAAATTTATGGATAATAAATGATTTTATACATATATGCAAAAAAAAAAAAAAATCTTATTTGCAGAAGAAATTGATGATCTTCAAATCCCTTAAAAATACATTTTTTAAAAAGACATAAAATTAAACTTTTTAAAATTGTATTTACCTCATTCTTTTATATCATCATATCATGTTAATCATATTAATTGTGAAACCATATCGAATTTAAGAATTCATTTTTCAAACATCATGAACATTTAAAGGAACCTAGTGTAATTAAAAAAGGAAATGAAATGATTAAAAACTTTTTTAAAAATCGCGACCAGTCACCAGTCAGAACTGAAGATGATTTCCCTTAAACATTATTAGAAATTCTAGCCTAAAATTATAAAATATATATATTATGCGTCAACTCCCCATATAGGCAAGTCCAAGAAAATAATGCTTATTTGTATATCAAAGCATATGCGTTAAAACGAAATGTACATTATTTGATACATTTTCATTTTAGTAAACGTCATGCTCCATGTGTGTCCATTTCAGCCTGTGATTGGCCCTCGCGGCGTCCCGCCCCCGGTTGTTGTACGTCATCTGATTCTTCTTCATTTGTTTGGCTGCCGAGACTGTCAGTCCACACACGACATGGCCGACATTAAAGTGCAGTAAAGCTGGTGGTAGGACCGAAGAAGCAAGGATTCAATAAGACATCCAGACAGGTAAAACATGCGTTGATTCCGTAATGACTTCTAGGACAGGAAAATATAGCTGTTTTGCGGTATTAATAGGCTGTGGTGAGTTCAAGAATAGTAAGTCAAAGCTCTGTCAGTGTTTAAGAACGTCCTGTCTTTTAGCTGCTAGCGGCTGACAGCCTGAGTTCAATCAACAACACACCGATCACGGATAGCACCCTGCAGCATTACAGCAACATCTGTTGATTAAAAACGGAACAAAAAAACAATATTTTGCTCACATCTACATTTGCACTCTGATGATTAGACATGGATAGGAGAATATGAGCAAGCCAACACCCAGTTTGTTTTAATAAATTATTTCACTGATGCTCTCCTGTCCGATCAGGCGTGGATGCTTTAACACAGTACCACAGTCTCATTTTGAATGATGTTATTTTGATGTATTATTGCTTGTATGCTAGAATTAGCTAATTTATCCATTTTATGAAAAAAAATGGAAAGACGTGGAAGACTCATTTGAACATTTCAAGGTTGTTTTATGCTTGAAGTTAAAGGGAGTGTTCTCCCAAAAAATTAAACGCATGCCAATATTTACAGATCTTTATGTCATTCCAAAACCATATGACTTTCTGGAAGACAAAGGGGACATTTTGAAGAATGTGTTGAGCAGTGACAATGAGTGGCGACTAAATATGTCAAACCTCATCAAGGACATAACATTTGTGCACTTATGTTTCTAGAATTGCTTTATCCAAGTCACAGATTCAATCTTGGTGTTTCTTGAGTTCATTGACTTACTGATTCAATTTGAGTGGTTAACAGCTAACTGGAGTGTCAGTCAATGAATAAATACTTAAATTGCAGTGGTTTTTCTCCCTCAAATATAATAAATACTTAAATTGCAGTGTTTTTCTCACTCAAATATAATCATATGACTTGAAAAGGCTTGGTACAGAAATTTATTTAATGGAAAACAAATTCTTCAAAAAAAATCTTGAAATTCATATGAATTTTGGGAAGAGGAGATTTCCGATGTGTGGTGAACTATTTCTGGACCTAATTTATTGTTTTTGCAATGCATTAGATGTTTGCTAAGATATATTTTAAACACTAAGTATTATACTGAATGTGGAGTTAAATTTAGTTTTTAATGAATTTGGCTATGAAGATGGTTCCCAATTATCTGAAACTGTCAGATTGCATCATCAACAACAGACTGTGCTGCACTGAACTACTGCGCCTTTGAAAAATCCATATTAAGTTGGGGGGGGGGGGGGGGGGGTTAATGAGGTGCAGATAGCATGATGTGATTTGTTTTGCTGGTCAGAGCTTCACAGTGTTAACTTCTCGTTTGATCCGTGAATGTGTCTCTTTAGGGAAGCCTGGACAGCCGAGGGAAGGATGCCATCTCCATCTTTTTCCCTTGATGCCCAGCTGCGCTTCCATGACAAATGGCTGAAGATAGACTTGCAGGTAAATTTTAGAATGAATTTTGTCATCGGTCAACGTCTTTAATGCTAAATATAGAGTGTTGATTGTTTTTTAGGGGGGGGGGGCAGGGATTTATTAAAGTCCTTATCCGAAAGCTATTTGGTTGCACTGTTGGCCAACATTTTCTTCTATATAACTGTGTTCAGTGACTCAAGCAGCGTGGTACCTAAGCTTCAGCAGAAAACGGGAATTGTTTTTTTGACACTGAGAATCTTTTGAATCTTGTTTCTCGGTGAGTACTGATGCTGAGTGGCAATAGATAGATCATTTCTTCTGGTCAGTAGCATATTAAAAGTATCGCTTAAGGTCTTAAACTGTTGAAAAGCTTGTATTGTGTGCATTTTTAAACACTGTTCCCTTAGCAGTGGGGTAACAGCATTTCAGTCAATGTGCCTTGCTGTCAGAGCTCTTAAAGCAAACTCTTTATTTTAAAGTCTCTTTATTCTTATTTTTCTGGCCTTCCGTTGGTGTTCACAGGAAGACTTCTCATGTGGCCTGATTTTATGATTATTGTGAGGTTGCCAGAAGCTGTCTGGGTCCCTTTTTTTGTGAGAAGTATAAAGATTAGTTACTTATTTAACAAAACAGGGGCTGAAATGCTTGAAACAAGATGTTTGCGTGTCAGTTTTGTTTTGAAAGTTTGCATGCCTCATTTTAGTATGGTCATATGGATCAGTGACTTTAGTGTGAGAAGCAGAATCGTTTTGTTCTTTTTTTCTAAATTGGGACGTGAGATGTTATTAACGGGGTTGCATGATTTGTGGAAAAAAATCAAATTGTGATTCTTCAGTTAAAAATAAACATACGCACACACTGTTATTATTTTTAGTGATTATTATTTCTGAATAAAAATATTAAACAAATGAGGAAACGTTGCTATTGTAATTTTCACTGAATAAGGGAAAAATAACAACAATAATGATAATAACTTTATTATTTAAACCATACAAAGGTCCAATTACAATACTAATGTTTAATGCTGTCTTAATTTCTTCATTTTGAAACATTACACCATCAAGCTTTTATTACAAAACCACAGTCCTTTAAATCTTTTCTTTTGTCAACAACATCCGGTTTATAAGCGCTTCTCATTACAAATCTGGGATGATGGTTGGCACAGGTTGCATTCCCAAATCCACATTATAAGTGACCTAAATCAAAGTGTTTGCACGGATGGAGTTCTTTAGGAGCAGAATTTACTTCCAACCAAGCATTTCTGAGACCCTGAAAACACCAGATCAGTTGCTGTTTGTTTATAAAATAACATAGTGCGACGCTTCACTCTGAAACACACAGCACATATATTTATTTATTAAATTGCATTATTGCAAAGCAGATGTCGCTGTTTTAATGTCATAAATGTCTTTTTATTGTTGTTAGCATAACAGTTGCAAATAAACATACATTTTATATTTTAAAAACTTTTTAAAATATAAAATGTAAAATTTTTTTTTATGCCGGTGTCCATCAGCGAATCTGCTGACGGACACCGTGCTGCTTTGTCAAGGGAACATGCCAGCTGAAGATAATGAGGAAATTACATCGCTCCCTTTGCCAAGTGCATTCCAAACGACTACATAATGGCACGCACGTGCCCTGCTCACTCCAGAGTCCCCACTCCAAGGGGATAGGAATGATTACTTCCATTTGGAATTTTGCCCGTGAACCGTTCGGTACACGATATGCATACCGTTACACCCCTAATATATATATATATATGTGTGTGTGTGTGTGTGTATGTATGTGTATATATGTATATATATATGTGTATATGTATATGTATATTTAGAATTTCAGTAAGTAGTGCTGGGACAAATTGATTTGTTTAGATTTTGATTCACAATCTTGCGATTTGATTCAATTTTGATCTTGTTTCACTTGATTATATAGATAATCAGGTACAGTATGTCATTTTTTTTATTCATGGAAAAAATCTTTGTCAGCTAATGCTTTAAACTATACAATAAGACCTGTCAGTTGGTACATTGCTATATTAAAGTGATTACACAGACATTTTATTTCTCTCCAGACTGCCCAATTCTCTGTTAATTATGGTTTCCCATTATGCCTTTTTAAACCACTATATCATTATTGACATCTTTTTTGCAAAAATATCCTCTTGTTTTGAAGGGAAAATGAATGTGCTGTGAATAATTGTTCAACAGATTCAGTTTCAAAACACTGGATGAATTTAGTACTGCTTCCTGGTAGTGAAGTGAAGCTGAAGAAATCAACACCTCAAAATGCTGTTTATGTGTATCTGTGTGTTTGGGTCTCTGTGACATTTGTCTGGAGTATTGCTCAAGGTGCTGTAGCTGTTATTAGCCTCACTCAACTCAGTGGTTGTGAAAGTCTTTCTGCTTTTTACAGTTTGAAGTCTGGTGTCTAAATTAATTTTTAACATTTGAAACTTGAGTCTGGGCTCTGAATTTCAGTAATTATCGTTAAGTCCTCAGTGAGCCTTTGGAGGCATTTTAATGTGCTGACTGGTTGGCCGAAATAGAAATGTTACAGATGCTAATGGTCAGTCACCAAAAGATATCGGCCTTCTCTGCCATTTTTGTATATGAGACAAGATGTTGTTGTTGTGTGTGTGTGTGTGTGTATATATATATATATATATATATATTAGTTAAACGTTAGGCCTATAATTAATTGGTAAAGATGATACAGCTATAATAATATCTCCTCTCTGGTACAGCGAGCCTTCTCTCCTGAAGGACTGAACGAGATGTGGAACGAGATGGTGAAGGATGGAGAGATTGTCTTTGACCGAGAAGAGTCCGCCCATCCAGGTAAAAAGCCACGTTACTATTGATTCCTAGTGGATTTCTAGATATTTGTAAAGTTGGATTCTTTTCGTGATGATTTCTAGTTTTCTAAATGTCTCAAATTTCTCCACTTCACAGAGGACTGTGCTGATTGCACCCAAAAGAAAGATGATACAAACGATAAGGAAAAGAAGGAAGAGGAGGAGGCGGCGGCTTCATCTTTCCATCACTCCATCATTGAGATGTGGGACTGGGGGAGGCAGCCAGGTGGGTGGTGATACTTAATGACACGCTCTGGGTTCGAATAGAGAGTGCTGAACTCAACATGCTGATTACTGCATCCGCTGACTGTCATCTTGCATGGTCATCCCACTCACACGTCATCAGCTTATTCTGCATAGGATTCCCATGTGCACGAAAACATCTTAAAATACTTTTTGAGTTTCAAAATTTCAACATCTTGTGATTTAATCAGTTGCTTGCCATCTAGCTGTTTAAAAAATGGAGGAACATGTCCTGTGTTTTAGGTATATATGTGCAGTGTTGGAGAAAATGACTTTTTGCAACCAATTGCAAAATTTTTAATTAGACACATTTTTGACACGCTTGTGTATAATTGTTACTGTTAGAATTCAGTAAAATGCAGTGTTTCTAGAATTCAGTCCCATCATGCATCGATCATTAGTTTCATGGATGATTTGTCGCCTCCAAATATTCAAGTACACAGTCCATCCCTAGCATATAATATGGGATAGTTGCATAATCTATAGTGTGTAGGCTTCATTGTATGCAGTTTTACAGTCTGGATTGTGCCTATAATTTTGAGTCCTTTGATTCAGCATTAGTTGTTAATGCTAAAGCAAGCATCACTGTTACTATTGCTCATGCATGGTGTCAAGGTCTTGAAATTTCACCCTATCTATTTTCTAAAAATTTGTTATAGATCTTAATGTGAGCTTTTTTTTTTTGGGACCTAGATTGTTGTCATGCACACGACAAAGATAAAAGATGTGAGCGCAACAAACAAACATGTCCGTCTAGCATGTGTTTGCGTAGAAAAACAATGCAAAGTAGCACAGTGAAATTGAAAAACTCATTATGTGTGAACAGCCCCTTAGCTCACGTTAATCTGCCTCCATATGAGTTCAACACTTACATCTCACAATCCAATCAACAACCGATGCATAGAACCATGCCCCCACCATACATCCCCGATGATCTGTTTCATATGTCAAAATATGGAAGAATAGATCTGTTGCTACTTCCTTTCATTGCAACTTTAAGTATTAAACTTCAGCATGCGACGTCCTTCATCTAATCATACGCAACATCCCCAACTTCACATGCTCCTCTCAGCACATGACATCTAAGTGCAAACCTTTGAGCAGTTTCCATTGGCCGAGTTTCCCATCAGCAAAGTGCTGTAATGTAGGATAGCAGATGGATTTGCCACATCTAAATGTGGCCCAGTTATTCATCCCTGTCACCACACAGGTGACCTACTCCTTCACTGGCAGACACGCACACAGTGTGTGTTACCCTTCATGTGTTTTGGTTTGTGTGTGTGTTTTCTGGTTGGCGCGTGAGGTGTTTGGGGCTCGGGTGACTGTACATACTGTCTGTGAGGTTATTTTTACCCTATGTGTGGTTGTAGGCCCTCTGTGCTTACAGACAGGTCTAGGTGGAGCAGCTTTCTGGTGGGTGGTGATAAGAACATGTTGATGGAAAGCCACATAGACCCCCCCCATGAGAGTAAAGTGGGTGCAGTCCAACACACTACCTCAGTAGGATTGCAAAATACTATGTCCATAGCAGTGTTTTCAGCACGATTTTGGTATTGCAGTGAGGGAGCCCGTGCACTCTACGTTTAAGTAAATACTAAGCTAAGAGATTTGAATTTATGTACATGGATTTTTGCTTAATGCTCCAAGGTACACTACTGTAAGATTTTTTGTTTTGGGGAAAAAAGTATTTTATGCTCACCAAGGCTGCATTTATTTAATCAAAAATACTGTACTATTGTGAAATATTACAATTTAAAGTAACACTTTTCTATTGTAATATATTTTTTAAATGTAACTTATTTCTGTGATGGCAAAGCTGAATTTACAGCTTTCATGTAATTATTATCCATGTTGAAAGCAGTTGCTACCATTGTCAGTTTTCTTTACTGTCACTTTTGATCAATATGTCCTTGCTGAATGAAAGTATGAATTTCTTTCCTTCTTTCAAAACAAAAAACAAAAAACCTTACGTTGTACTGACCCCAAACATTTTAACTATAGCGTGCTTCAAAGAATAATGTGCAGGACAAAGGCTCATTTTTCTCTCTGAATGGGAGGATTATAGAGAAACGGAATGAATAGTAGATTGCTATTTTATTCTTACTTTTTGGCTTTTTTATTCTTATTGTTATTCAGATTGATAGTCAAGTATATGGATGGCAGAAGATGTTTTTCTTTTGTAAAATAGCCTGTGAATGTTAAAGTGAGTTTTGATCTGGCCCCTGGAAGAGAGCAGTAGAAGAGCCCTATTATTTCCTGTCATCTCTCCATTGTTCTAGGCTTCTAGCAATAAAAGTGGTGGTGAAAAAGAGGACATTTTCTGATAACGGCACCAACTGCTATACTAGAAGCATAATATTGAATTTCAGGAAATTAACAAGTGCTTTTTAGCTTCTGTGGGAGCCCGTTTAAAGCTAAACCGATCAGTTAGTGGAAGTAAAAGACTTTCCTTTTCTTATCTTTGTGTGGCATGCTCAAACCCTTTCCTTTTCTCGCAGTACCATAACCTCTTATTGCTGCTGTGCAGACTGCACTGCTTCAGGGCCTGTGAGGGCTAGGCAGCTTGGCTTACATAAGGCTTAGGTGTATTTCAGATAGGCTATTTTAATTCACCCTGTCTGCCTATATGAGGCTTTAATCCAGAGGCTGTGAAGAGATGAATGCATGCACATCCGTAACAACAGTCCAGTGGAGCCAGGCAGACAGTTTCAGGCAAGCATAATGAAGGCTTTAGACTGGAATGCACTTCAAGGACTCAAATTGCAGCAAACATTGTTATACAGCATCATTATTACTAGATCCAATTCCATATAGACTGGCATTTATGTACTTTGCAACTTGAGATTGTATTTCACACAAGCAAACGATATTTCTTAGAGCTAATTTTATCTCAGTTTTGCACCAATTTACTATCATATCAAAAACTTGATGAAATGCTATTAATCACACAGATACTATTTATAACCTTTGTGTAGTCAGGGATTGAAGTAGCAAAAGTTAAAAGCCCTCTTGAGCAGGTCACTTAAATACAGTTATGATATGTTTTAATAGTAGGCCAATATAATCTATAATATAATATAATAATGTGAATATTTTTGCCTTTATATGCTATGTTATCCCTCTTATTGCTGCTGTGCAGACTGCACTGCTTCAGGGCCTGTGAGGGCTAGGCAGCTTGGCTTACATAAGGCTTAGGTGTATTTCAGATAGGCTATTTTAATTCACCCTGTCTGCCTATATGAGGCTTTTATCCAGAGGCTGTGAAGAGATGAATGCATGCACATCCGTAACAACAGTCCAGTGGAGCCAGGCAGACAGTTTCAGGCAAGCATAATGAAGGCTTTAGACTGGAATGCACTTCAAGGACTCAAATTGCAGCAAACATTGTTATACAGCATCATTATTACTAGATCCAATTCCATATAGACTTGCATTTATGTACTTTGCAACTTGAGATTGTATTTCACAGAAGCAAACGATATTTCTTAGAGCTAATTTTATCTCAGTTTTGCACCAATTTACTATCATATCAAAAACTTGATGAAATGCTATTAATCACACAGATACTATTTATAACCTTTGTGTAGTCAGGGATTGAAGTAGCAAAAGTTAAAAGCCCTCTTGAGCAGGTCACTTAAATACAGTTATGATATGTTTTAATAGTAGGCCAATATAATCTATAATATAATAATGTGAATATTTTTGCCTTTATATGCTATGTTATATTAACTATATCAGCTGTTCTAATATTTTATTAATATTGTATAAAAAAATATATAAATTTATTTATATATATATTAGTGCTGGGCAACGACTACAATTTTTTATTAATCGCATGATTGTGGTTAATCGTGATTAATTGCGTTATGCACAAAATTCAATAATGCATTCAAAAGTAGTGTATTGTGCACTTTTTTCATTTAAAAGTACTGCTATATGAACATTCATGTAATTATTATCCATGTTGAAAGCAGTTGCTACCATTGTCAGTTTTCTTTACTGTCACTTTTGATCAATATGTCCTTGCTGAATGAAAGTATGAATTTCTTTCCTTCTTTCAAAACAAAAAACAAAAAACCTTACGTTGTACTGACCCCAAACATTTTAACTATAGCGTGCTTCAAAGAATAATGTGCAGGACAAAGGCTCATTTTTCTCTCTGAATGGGAGGATTATAGAGAAACGGAATGAATAGTAGATTGCTATTTTATTCTTACTTTTTGGCTTTTTTATTCTTATTGTTATTCAGATTGATAGTCAAGTATATGGATGGCAGAAGATGTTTTTCTTTTGTAAAATAGCCTGTGAATGTTAAAGTGAGTTTTGATCTGGCCCCTGGAAGAGAGCAGTAGAAGAGCCCTATTATTTCCTGTCATCTCTCCATTGTTCTAGGCTTCTAGCAATAAAAGTGGTGGTGAAAAAGAGGACATTTTCTGATAACGGCACCAACTGCTATACTAGAAGCATAATATTGAATTTCAGGAAATTAACAAGTGCTTTTTAGCTTCTGTGGGAGCCCGTTTAAAGCTAAACCGATCAGTTAGTGGAAGTAAAAGACTTTCCTTTTCTTATCTTTGTGTGGCATGCTCAAACCCTTTCCTTTTCTCGCAGTACCATACCCTCTTATTGCTGCTGTGCAGACTGCACTGCTTCAGGGCCTGTGAGGGCTAGGCAGCTTGGCTTACATAAGGCTTAGGTGTATTTCAGATAGGCTATTTTAATTCACCCTGTCTGCCTATATGAGGCTTTTATCCAGAGGCTGTGAAGAGATGAATGCATGCACATCCGTAACAACAGTCCAGTGGAGCCAGGCAGACAGTTTCAGGCAAGCATAATGAAGGCTTTAGACTGGAATGCACTTCAAGGACTCAAATTGCAGCAAACATTGTTATACAGCATCATTATTACTAGATCCAATTCCATATAGACTTGCATTTATGTACTTTGCAACTTGAGATTGTATTTCACAGAAGCAAACGATATTTCTTAGAGCTAATTTTATCTCAGTTTTGCACCAATTTACTATCATATCAAAAACTTGATGAAATGCTATTAATCACACAGATACTATTTATAACCTTTGTGTAGTCCGGGATTGAAGTAGCAAAAGTTAAAAGCCCTCTTGAGCAGGTCACTTAAATACAGTTATGATATGTTTTAATAGTAGGCCAATATAATCTATAATATAATAATGTGAATATTTTTGCCTTTATATGCTATGTTATATTAACTATATCAGCTGTTCTAATATTTTATTAATATTGTATAAAAAAATATATAAATTTATTTATATATATATTAGTGCTGGGCAACGACTACAATTTTTTATTAATCGCATGATTGTGGTTAATCGTGATTAATTGCGTTATGCACAAAATTCAATAATGCATTCAAAAGTAGTGTATTGTGCACTTTTTTCATTTAAAAGTACTGCTATATGAACAAAAGTGCAAAAACATTTGGTTTGCGAACACTTTAAACAAATAAGGTGCTTTTTTTACAGCAGTACTCCTTTTACATAGTAGCAGTTAAAATATTTATTGTAAATCTCAACTTATAACAATATAATCAAATTAAATATAAACAAGCTATTTGCCACTGCCTGGGCATTAACGTTTTTATAGAAAATATTTTATAGTTTGTTATAAAACAAGTTATGCTTAGAGTCCAGAGCCTCCATCATAATATTATAACAGGCACCTTAGAGACCTGCACTATCGTGGGACCCAACTCAGCAGAGTGCGGCGTGGGACAACACTTGATGGGCGAGCGCGGGTGCGGGTAGAGACTCGTGTGTGCGGGATGCGGGAGAATAAGGGTGTACTCACACTAGGCAATTTTAACTGTGCCCGAGCGCGTTTGACCCCCAAAGCCCGGTTCGTTTGACTAGTGTGAGCGCGGCACGGTTCGTTTAGCCGTCCCTGGCTCGGTTGGAAGAGGTGGGCCAGAGCGGGTTCAGTTATATATAGATCAGTGAGTGTGAGTGCTAATCGCACCGGAGCACGGAACCTATGATATGTGCTGCATGATTGCATGAACATTTCTGAACAGCAAGAGTGATAGATCTGTAAAGCAATATAGTGTGAGAGGGCCATGTGTTACCGCGTCCCAAACGACTCAAAATAATAAACCACAAAGTTAACAAAACGATGCACTGTGCTGAGCGAGAGCGATACTGCCTTCACATGCTATCGGAAACTTCCTGTTTCCCCACTTATGAAGTCGTGATTACGAGCTTGTTGCATTATTTTCTGTTAAAAATAACAGTAGACAGTGGTTTGTGAATGTTGATGCTTAGCTTAAATAATTTTATCGAGAGCGTTCACGTGAGCGCTGCTGCAGTCTTAGGCCCTCCCCAAATGCTCTCATTGGTTGAGACGCGTGATGATCAACATCCCACCCCTCCTGTGACCCATATTTATCTGTGTGTATTCAGAGCCAGTGAGCAACGGACTTTCATAATAAAAAATGTGTTAATGCACGATAAAATAATTGTTGGCGTTAACTTGATAATAACGCGGTAACTTGCCCAGCCCTAATATATACAGTGGGGAAAAAAGTATTTAGTCAGCCACCAATTGTGCAAGTTCTCTCACTTAAAAAGATGAGAGAGGCCTGTAATTTTCATCATAGGTATACCTCAACTATGAGAGACAAAATGAGAAAAAAAAATCCAGAAAATCACATTGTAGGATTTTTAAAGAAAACTTTTTTTTCTCCATTGTTTGCACAGAAACTGGAGAGCTAAAGGACTGTCTGATGGCGCTGGTAGACGACCAACAGAAGCTGTCTTCACAGACGGCTAAGAGCACACTCTCCACCCTGCGCCTGAGCCAGAGACTGGTGATCCTGGAGCGCTACCTCATCTCACTCACCCACAGCATGATGGAGGAAAAGTACAAAGTGCGCTGGAAGAGTCCCCCCAGCCCTCCGCTCTCTGCCGTTGATAACAAAAGGTATGAGGAACAGAGCTTTGATTGATATTGGATTACATTTTAAACTCCTCAATATAGAAGCAATGAAAATAATTGGCCTAAATGTTTTTGTTTGTTTCTTCAGTACTCGGCCAGTCAGTAAAGGAGTGGAGGGTTTAGCTAGGGTGGGATCAAGAGCAGCTCTTTCCTTTGCCTTTGCCTTTCTTCGCCGAGCCTGGAGATCTGGTAAGCCATTTCCAGCATGGTTTGGCTAGCCACGGTTCCTTCCTTCAGAACACTTAAGTCTGTCATCCTTAGAAAGTTCTAATCTGTCCTCAAAACTTTGCTCAAGATTTTCAAGCAGTGTTACATACCGTGCAGTACTCCCTTTTACAACCTCTGCTGCTTGTCCACTTGCCTTCAACAAGGACGGAAAATATGTGAATTCTCTCTTTTGTAGATGTGTCTTGAACAGCTTGAGTTTGTTGATAAATGTGAAAACACTCTGCACCAGGTCAGGCAGCATCTTTAACTTCCCTTGCAGATCCACATTCAGTCCATTTAGATAATGCAGCATGTCGACTAAAAAAGCCAAATCTGAAATCCACTGGGGATCATGTAGCTCAGGATAGTCCCTATGTTTCTCTGCAAGGAACAGCTTCACTGGATTCAAAAGCTCAAAGAAACGAGAAACCACATTACCTCTTGAAAGCCATCTCACAGCGCAGTGAAGAAGCAGATCAGATGGAAGATCTTCATCAAGTTCATCAATGAGATTTTTGAACTGTCTGTGATTGAGAGCATGTGTGCGTATAAAATTGACAATTTCCAGCACAGGTTTCATGATGTGGTCTAAGTTCAGCTTTTTAGACACCAAGTGCTCTTGATGGATAATACAGTGAAATGTCCAAAATTCTGGAAAACGATCATCAGCTTTACACAGCCCTATAAGACCTTTCTCAGATCCCAACATGGCTGGAGCTCCGTCCGTGGCTCCCATTCAGATAAAAATGTTCTGTGCTCATCTTCGTATTTACGCTTAGCTGTGCGCTTCCCTAACTCTGCCATGACGATTGATACTAACAAACTTCGTCAATCGTGTGTCAACTGGCTAACGTACGTTAAATCGCGCGAGAGGTTGTGTAAAAAAAAAAAAAGAAAGACAAGAAATAATAATACATATTGAAAATCCTAATTAAATTCGGCAAATGCATTTAAATACATAAACCTTTATTGCAAAATTATGTTTTTTACATTTTAAAAATAAATTGGGATTGTAAACACAGAACATGTGGATAGATTGAAGAGCCGCACAAGAGCAGTGAAAGAGCCGCAAGCGGCTCGCTAGCCGTGGGTTCGCCACCCCTGATCTAGTGTAACAGATAATGGACTTAAATGAGTTTCTGTCAAACCTTTCAATATGGCTTACATTTACAATAGTTGTTGAGTCAAATAATTGCTCAGCTTCTAGATTTTATAGGCTTAATGTGAAGCACAACAGTTTTTCTTTGGGCTGATCATTAATCTTCACTTCAGGTAGGAAGTGGTGCTACAAAAGGTCGACTTTGCAGTTTAACTCAGTTGAGGGCAAACGTAAGAAGAATTTTCTGTTCTGATTGTAGCTGAAACCCTGAGTCTAAGCAGAAGGTTACAGACTGGTGGGAGATCCTAGTTGTGATCTGTTTAGATGTTGAAAACAGTGCAGCACAGTGTCCACAGGGAATGGGTGGATACAGCCTCTCTGGCCCTGGAAATAAAGGTGCCCTGAAACCTGAGCCATATACACATTCCATTGAACAGCCGAGAGCTGGATTTGAGCTGAACTGCCATAGTTGTGAGAATAAAAGAGAAAAGATGACGATTGGATGGGTGAATGTTTATCCTGTAATAAAGTTTATAGTGTTCTGGTTTTCCTGTCTTTGGTGGGATAGAGTTTATCACGGAATCATTTTAAAATGTTTAATATTAAATTAAGTTATTAAGTAACTAATAATATTTGCGTATAAATGTTTGATTTGATTTTTAAAATTTTTGACAGTGCAGACTGTCTGGTAGCTAAAGCACTGCATGATAATGACAGCCGTTAAATCATTAAAATGTATACTATACAAAGAAGTCTTATATTTACGCGCATTAATTGACTTTATTAATTTGTGGCGTCTCAGGAGATGATGCAGACCTGTGCAGTGAGTTACTGCAGGAGTCTCTGGACGCTCTGCGGGCTCTCCCAGAAGCTACCCTGTTTGATGAGAGCACAGTGTCGCCTGTCTGGCTGGAGGTGGTCGAGAGGGCTACCAAATTCCTCAGGTTTACCAGTCATCTTCACTATTCACAAATGCAGAAGTAGAAATATTAATTCTTGTTTAATAAGTTTTTATTTTCCAACTAGAAAGCTTAGACTATCCTTCAAAAGTATGAGGTTTAGTAAGACTTTTAAAATGTTCACCGAGATTGCATTTATTTAATCAAAAATACAGTAAAAATATTATTAGAATTTAATTGAATTTTTTAAAATATATTAAAAATTTTTATTATTCCTGTGATGACATAGCTGAACTTTCAGAAGTCATTACTTAAGTCTTCAGAGTTACATGATCCTTCAGAAATAATTCTACTATGCTGATTTGGTGCTCAAGAAACGTTTTTATCAATGTTGAAAACAGTTTTACTGATTAATGTTAGTGATTTGTTTTTTTTTTTATCAGGATTTTTTTGTTAAATAGAAAGTTGAAAACACCTAAAGCATTTATTTGAAAGATTTTTTTTAACATTATAAATGTACTTACTGTAACTTTAGATCAATTAAAGCTAAATCCTTGCTAAATAAAAGTATTAATTTCCTTTTAAAAATTATTTTTGACCTCAACTTGATTTTTTAACACAAACTGATCATAAATCCACACGTTCCTAAAGCTCTTTGTTATTTAAGCTAATTTTACTCATTTTTTTTTTTTAGTGACATCCATGGAAGTGCGAGTGGAAAAGCGGCCAGTAACATTCCCCTGCAGGATCAGCACTTGGCCCTGGCCATCCTGCTGGAGCTTGCAGTGCAGCGAGGAACTCTCAGGTATTCAGCATGCTGTTACATATGACCACTGTCCAAAATAACTTTTGCTAAAATTCCTAAAAACATTATTGGCTGAAACCGAAAGCCAGTTTTTACTCTCAGTTGGCCCTTACCTAGAGTTAATTTTGGACCTTGCATGCGATTTTCTGAGACTTTTGATAGAACTGAAGGGTCTTATTCATTAATACTCTTAACTCGCTTTTTCGGGTGTTTGTATTGTAGTCAGCTGCTGTCTGCGGTTCTGCTGCTGCTGAGGCTTTGGGACAGTGGAACCAGAGAAATGGATAATGAGCGCTCGACCCAAGGCACCAGCGCCCCCTTGCTGCCCCTCCTGCAGCGCTTGCAGAACATCCACAGTAGTAAGGAGGAGCATGTTCCCCAAGAGGAGATTGAGGTGAGATTGAATCCCTGAATAATTGTTATAACTGCACTGTCCTTCCAGGTTTTATATCTGGCTACTTATGTTCTCAGATCCTTTCGGCCCCTCTGAGCCCAAACGAGAGTTTTCTGCGCTACCTTACGCTGCCTCAAGATAATGACCTGGCCATTGATCTGCGGCAGACAGCTGTAGTCATCATGGCACACTTGGACCGCCTGGCAGCCCCATGCAGCCCCCCACAGTGCAGCTCACCCACCTCTAACAAGGTACTGCATGCAACACGCTCAACCGTCTTGGCATTTTATTTGCATTTTCTTTGTCACACAGGAAGAAACAGTGGCTCAGCTTTGTGTCATCTTAATCAAACTACCTGGTTGCCTAGAGTTAGGCCTGGGCGATAAAACGGTATCGATATTTATCGACGGTACACCCGAATACACAAAACATTTTCAATATAGTGCACGATATAGGCACCTGCTCTGAGTGACGCAGACAGCACACACGAACACATGCTGAATTGAGTGCTGTGCCTGCCTGTGATGAGGACATTGTGAATAATTTTTTTTTTATATTAGTCTAATTTAAAATAAACATTTGCATTTGAATGCAAAAATAGTACAATCAAATGTTAGGTGCGTCTGGGAGCGTCATTGCTGGTGGTGGTTGAGGAGATTCCCCCGCTTTCATGTAAAGAGCTTTGAGTACCCAGAAAAGCGCTATATAAATGTAACCAATTATTATAACAAATTATTATTAGTGGAGCGTGAGATGTGGTGATGATAATGTAAGTGACGTAGTCACATTTTAATGTTTTGTTAGTCTAGCCCACAGGACGTGCAGTTGCTGCGTTATTCATTCAAAATATTAGAGAAATATAGAAGCTCAATGCGTAGAAGATCTTGATAAAGGTTAAAACCGAAACCAAGCCATTCACACAGAACGCATATTCAGCGCATTTTTTAGACAGACAAATATGACTGCTGCTCTCACGTCTCACACAAGAGATGTAGCCATGCAAAGTTAAAACAGTTTAAACTTTTAGAAAGCGCGTCACGAATTTGTGGATTTAAAAATACAGTGGTTAAATTTAAAATAAAATAAAAAAAATTCTATTGCTCTTTCTTTTAAAAAAGGTTATAAAAAATGTAAATAATTTTCTAATCATACCGATCGATATGAAATATTATATCGTCGATACATTTTTCTTTGCTATATCGCCCAGCCCTACCTAGAGTCCCCCTTTTTTGTTGTTTGTGTTGAAGCTGCTTCTTGACTCAAGAGCACAATGACTCTCTAGGAAGCCCCAGGGAATCCTTGTTTGTAATTATAATCTCTGAGGAAAACAAAATCATTCTTCATAGAGCTCAATCTCTTCATGTCTTCCCACTTCCAGGGTACCCTGCAGGAGGTGATTGGTTGGGGTCTGCTTGGATGGAAGCCTTACGCTAATGTGAATGGACCAATTCAGTGCAAGGCACTGTCAAACCTGGGCGTCACACAGATTGTCGGCTCAGAGAAGGGTTTCCTCATCCTGACCATCACTGGTGCTGTCTACACACAAAATTACAAAAGCACTATACTAGTGAGTCCCTCATTTTGTTAGCTGTTTTTTTTCCTCTCTCCCATACTTTACAAATTAATGTAAATGCGTGTATAGCTCTTGCTGACCCATAATAGTCTCTTTATATTTTCTACTTTGGAATGCACATTAAACTAATAAACCTGTGATTTCCTGTCAGGCCCCTATGCTAGTCCACGCATTGTCATCCAGGAAAATAATTAAGCTTGCCGCTCACCCAGATGGGCAGCACTACTTGGCTCTTTCAGTCAATGGGGAGGTATTCTCCTGGGGTTGTGGAGATGGAGGCAGGCTGGGACATGGAGACGCCACGTAAGTGCACACCAACATCATCAAACTTCCTATTATATCTCTCAGATCCATATACAGTATATACACTACAGTTCAGAAGTTTGGGGTAGATACGATTTAAAAAATTATTTTTAATGCTCACCAAGGCTGCATTTATTTGTTAAAAAATACAGTAAAACTGTAATATTGTGAAATTATTGCAATTTAAGATACCTGTTTATTAATATATTAATTTTAATTTATTTTAACGTTTAATTTGTTAAATTTAATTTTAGAAAATTTTTAATTTAATAAAAGATTATTTTTGATCCTTCAGAAGTTATTTTAATATACTGATTTCTTATTATTTGTGTGCTGGTTATTTTGTGGAAAGCTTTTTTCAGATTTCTTTGGTTAGTAGAATGTTTTTTTTTTTTTTTAAACAATTTATTTTGAATAGAAATATTTTGTTACATTATAAATGAATTTACGCTCACTTATGACCAATTTAATGCATCCTTGCTGAATAAAAACAATCTGTGGTAATATTAAAGGGAAAAATAAATTAATATCAAGGTCATCTAAGGCTAATTACTAGTGTGTTGTCATGGATTGCTTGAAATAAACACCTCAGCAATTATTTAAAAAAAAAATGCTTGAATGTTCAGTGCTGTGATTTGACCAGCCAAAACTAGTGGGCGACCGATACTGTCTCCGATACATCTTAGAAAGCAGGTTGGCCGGAGGCCGATATAAATTAAATATATATATATATATATATATATATATATATATATATATATATATATATAAAAAATAATTAGAATTTATTTATTTTAATTAATTTGTAAGAAATTTAATTATTTCGTAAATTAATTAAAAAAGAAATGTGTAAAATAAACATACTTATACTTTTTAGATGACCACTTCTTGATTCTGAAATCCTATTACAGTATTTTTCACAAATGTTTTTTTTTTTTAAATAATCATTTAAATACATAAATGAAAAGCATGTAAACACTGCAACCAACAGGGTACTCAGTAATCTGGGAGGTTTGTGTGCATTGGAAATGTTTTATATATTTCTTTTTAAAATAGAATTTTTTTTTATTTTTTTAACTAAAGCCAATGTAACACTAATTTTACATAAAGCTCACAATGAAAATTACGTGAATATGACAGTGGGCAAATGGATAAAGCACACCATAGTTTGAAATCACGAGTTTAAAGTTTGTCAATCGTGTGTCTCGTGAAGCTGAACTCTCCTCCTGTCTGCATTCAATTCGCACAGACCGACCGTCACGCAGAGTGCGTTCGTATCCGATCATGCAGGATACGAATGCACACTCTCACAGCTGGATTCCACTAAGTCTGCAAGGTTTGTGAAATTAAATGTTTATTAGACATAGATTGTGTTCTCAGGCACTGTCGTTCTCAGCGCAATCAAAATAAAAGTCCGGTGCGCCATCAAAATAAACGCTTCGAACACATCGGCCAAACAGAAAAACTGATTGATGCCGATATTTGAAAAATGCCAAAGCTGATATATCGGTCGACCACTAGTCAAAACCAACCATTTCAGCCAGCCAAAAACAGTACTATGTAATATAAAAACAGTATATAGCTCTTTGTTTACAATGAATCACAGAAAATCCATTTTGTTTATTTTTTGCACTTCTACAGGTATTTAGAGGAACCCACCATGATTGCAGTATTCTCAGGGAGGCCTGCGGGGAAGCAAGTTATTCACATCGCATGTGGCAGCACGTACAGTGCAGCGATCACAGCAGATGGAGAGCTGTACACATGGGGCCGAGGAAACTACGGCAGGCTGGGCCACGGTAACATCTCCAGTATAAATCCAGCTAAAATCCACTGCTGTTTATAACAAGACATATAGAATCTTACCTCAGGACAGAGTTAAATGATGTGTGTATGTTTTTTCTGAAGGCTCTAGTGAGGACCAGACCACTCCCCTGCTGGTATCTGCTCTAAAGGGGATTAAGGTGATTGATGTGGCCTGTGGAAGTGGAGATGCTCAGACCCTCGCTGTGACTGAGAATGGTGCGACATCTGATAAGGGTACTTCCGGCAGTGGTTTTAAGATGATGAGTGGATGGCATGATCATTTCTCTTGCATGCTCTTTACAGGTCAGGTATGGTCGTGGGGTGATGGAGACTATGGTAAACTTGGCCGTGGGGGTAGTGATGGATGCAAAACTCCTAAACTCGTGGAGAAGTTACAGGATTGGGATATCGTGAAGGTGTGCTGTGGGAGCCAGTTCTCCGTAGCTCTTACTAAAGATGGACAAGTGTACACCTGGGGCAAAGGAGACAATCAAAGACTCGGCCACGGCACTGACGAACACGTCCGCTATCCCAAACTGCTTGACAGTCTACAAGGTTCAGTGTTTTCCACTTTTTTCACCCATTGTGTTTTCACAAAATACACATCTCAGGTTTTTGAAAACTGAAGCCAAAGTCAGAATTTTTTTTTTTTAATACATATTCCTGATCGTATTTGGAAAAATTACTCATTGTGAATGTTTAATGCACATATTATTCCAAAGGATGATTTTTTTTGTAGTCTTTTATTAAAATACAACTGTTATTATGAACTAAATCTATTAAAATAAATTGTTTTAAATTATGCAAATATTTAATTTGTAAATATTTAAAGCTGATATGATAATATTATAATAAAATATAAATATTAGAGGAAAAAAGTAGTAAAATTACTAAAACTGAAAAAAATAAAGCTATATTAAAATATTTTAAAAACTAGAAAAAAAACAATCTATGAATAAAAGATCAATTAAAATAATAAAATAACACTGAAATATAATATCTTGCTCTGCCTCTGAAAGGACTTTGCAGTGATGTCACCTACAGTATGCTTCATTTTAACCAATAGTCAAATATTTAGGCATTACTGTAGGTAATACAGCATTTCTGGCTAACAGTTAATTTAGTTATTCAATGGCTCAAAAAGTAGGTGCTGACTGTTTCAGGAGGGCAGTCCTCCAGTCCTCCAATGCCATTTCTCATTCTCCATTTTGTTATGGAATAGCCACTTTTCACAGTCCAGATTTAGATTCAGATTCAGTTCGTTCCAGATGGATAAAATCAAGTCTCTCCCTAAAATTTTTTTTACCCAATTAATATTCACCTGTTTCACTTGTAAATGTTACATTATGGAAGCAAAATGGTGTACAAATGGCATTTCATGTTGACTTTATCAGTATACATTTCAAAAGATGGTTTATTTTGACTTGATTACCAGTTTTCATCTGCATTTTTTAATCTGAAGTTTGCTCATAACATTTAATTCTTTGTCAATTTAGGTAAGAGAGTGGTGGATATAGCGGTTGGCTCTACACACTGCCTGGCCCTCACAGAAGAAGGGGAGGTGCACAGCTGGGGCAGTAACGATAAACTACAGCACTTTGACACACTCTTCTCCAATAAGAAGCAGCCTAAAGCCCTGCCGGGCCTCAATTCCAAACATATAGTGGGCATCTCCTGCGGTCCTGGCCAGGTATGACCTGTCTTTTACAAGGATGTAATTCATTGTATAATGCTTTTGACTGCATGCTTCTTATCTTTATATTCTGTCTCTCAGAGTTTTGCGTGGTCGTCATGCTCTGAGTGGTCTGTGGGGCTCCGCGTACCATTCGTGGTGGACGTGTGCACTATGACCTTTGACCAGCTGGACCTGCTGCTTCGGCAGGTCAGCGAGGGCATGGATGGCAGCTCTGATTGGCCACCACCGCAGGAGAAAGAGTGCATGGTTGTAGCTGCTCTAAACCTGCTCAGACTACAGGTCAGTTGTCTAAAATTTCAGGTTACTGCCATTTAAATTGCAATGTACATTGATTTATTCTGAAATACCTGTTTGAATGGTAGAGCTTATGTCCTCTTAAAAGGATAGTTCACCTTGAAATGAAAATTGTCATTGTATTGTAACTGTTTCAGCTCCATGCAGCCATCAGTAACCAAGTGGACCCTGAGGAGCTGGGTCTGGGCCTGGGAAGTGGGCTGCTTAATAACCTCAAGCAGACGGTGGTGACGCTGGCCAGCAACGCAGGGGTTTTAAATACTGTGCAGGCGGCCGCCCAGGCTGTGCTCCAGAGTGGCTGGTCAGTGCTACTGCCCACTGCAGAGGAAAGAGCAAGAGCCCTGTCCTCACTGCTGCCCAATGCAGGTCAGTGCATACATTCTGTGCTTGGAAAACTGCTAGATAACACTTAGCACTATTTGCATCTCTTAATCAATAGTCAGTGTTTTCTTTCATGATTCTGCATTGTCACTCTTAATTTATATGCAGTTGGCTAGTTTACATCTAGAAACTTTATCTAGTGGATAAGTCATCTTCGTACCATAGATTCTGTTATCACAAGAAGTCATGATTGTTTCTATCACAGCATTGATGGTCAAAAGCATTTCTCTGTTTTTTAGCATCTGCTAATGAGATGAGTATAAGTCCTGGCCGTCGCTTCATGATTGACCTTTTGGTTAGTAGTCTGATGGCGGACGGAGGGCTGGAATCCGCTTTGAATGCTGCCGTCACGGCTGAGATCCAGGTCCGCATGTTTTATTAATTTGTCACTTCATCATTTATTCACCCTCCAAGCCTTATATCTGCAACATTCAACAGAGCACTGCCAAAAACAAAACGGAGGGGGAAACAGATTAATGACCCCTGAGGGAAAAGTGTCAAAAATAATTTACATTTTAAATAATTGTGTAATGTTATCTGAAACGTGTATATACTGTTGTTTTATTTTTCGTTTGGTGTTTTTTTTTTTTTTTTTGATCTCGCCTGGCCTGGACTCATGGGTATGTGAAAGATCAATTCACACACTTCATTCATAACCAAGATAGTCTGATTGCTTAACTGAGTAATGCTTTGATCCAGTATGTATATATTTATGCATTTTAAAATCTCTTGATCTCTCTCTCTATGTGATTAAAAACCTAAACTTGCAATGTTTTTAAACACAATATTTAGTCAGTTTACTAAAGTTAATTGAAAACAGAAAAGCGCAATATTGTAAATGAAGAGCAGTGAAGTACAATAAGGTGAGCCTCTCTTTCTTTGCAGGTTTCTTTTTTAATGGGTCGAGCTCAAAGAACAATGAGGAAGTGTCGCTTATCCGCAAAGCTGACCTGGAGAATCATAACAAAGATGGAGGCTTCTGGACTGTCATTGATGGGAAGGTTTATGACATTAAAGACTTCCAGACTCAAACTCTAACTGGGAACAGCATCCTCGGTATAACATTACAAAAATGACTGAAGCCTTTTACTTGAAGTTTATTTTCAATTAAAGAGTTTATTGACATCTGTTTCCCCCCACAGCCCAGTTTGCAGGAGAAGATCCTGTGGTAGCTTTAGAGGCTGCTCTACAGGTTGAAGACACCAGGGAGTTCATGCAAGCTTTCTGTGTGGGACAGTACATGGAGGTCTGTCTTACTTTTGCATTACAGTTTCAAGCTGTTTTATTCTCAGAATGTTTGGACTTCATGTTTCTTCTTGTTTTTGCCTCCGTCGTTCTCCAGCCCAACCAGGAAATGGTGACAACGCCTGACTTGAGCAGTCTGTCCTCACCTCTGATAGATGCTGAGAGAAACCTTGGTCTGCTATTGGGGCTACATGCCTCATATCTGGCTATGAGCACCCCTCTCTCTCGCATAGAGTTAGAATGTGCCAGTGAGTCTATTTATTTAGGTTATAACATTGCAAACGTTTCAGTGGTTTTCAAAAAAATCAATACATAAATAAATAAAAAAATCCAAGAAACAAGTATAAAAAATAAAACTAAAATTAAAAAAGGGAATTTAAAAAAACAAATAAACATGATATATACAATATATTTTTTTATGTACAATTATGAAGTAAAATAATAAAAAAAAAAATTAAGACATTTTAAAATGTTTCACATTTTAAATCGCCTTTAATCTTATACCTTCCAGAATGGCTCCAGTCATCGATTTTCTTTGGTGGTCTTCAGACGAGTCAGATCCACTATAATTATAATGAGGAGAAGGATGAGGACCACTGCAGCTCTCCTGGGACCACCACACCAGACAAAGCCAAACTCTACTGCCGCAGAATCACCCTGAGTGATCACGCCCAGCCCTTCCTGCAGGCCATCGCTGACAACAACACCCAGGACCACACTGTGAAGGTCATACACAGTGAAAGAGTATCATTTATTTGTCTCTTCATTTAGTATTACTTATTATACATTTCCCATTCCCTAATATTTCACTGTCAGATTGTTTATCAGAAGGAGAGACCCTTGGATTTGGGATGTGTTCTGATGGTTAATGTGGGGTTCTTTCTTATTTGCTGCAGGACTTTCTATGCCAAATCGAGCGGTGTTGTAAACAGTACCATCTCATCACTCCCATCACTTTTCCGCCCGAACATCCTGTAGAGGAAGTGGGCCGCCTGCTGCTCTGCTGCTTTCTCAAGCACCAGGACCTTGGTAACTTAAAAAGCTATTGTTGTATTGAATGGTGGTGGCTGCTCTGTATTTACACACACACACACATATATATATATTTTAAGTTTCTGAAATCCTGCTCTGACAACTCTGTTTAGAGTTTTTGGTTAGTTTACATTGTTACTATCAATTTCTGTTTTCTTATACAGGTCATGTCGCCCTCTCGCTTGTTGATCAATGTGCCTTGGGTGTGGACCAGGGGAAACAGAGGTCCCTTCCGAAATGTGTGATTGATGTGTGTCGAATGGTGTACCAGGCCAAGTGTTCTTTGATAAAAGTGAGCAATGACAATCTAAATAATGGAAATATTCTTGTATTGCAGATGTGTTACAATACATTGTACCTTGCTCCTTGGAATATGCAGAACAAGCTGTCATATTTGAGATGAAATTTAATTACACACACTTTAGTACCTTAGTTTTAGATTTTAATACATGTCAGGTAATGTGGGATGTCACCTTGTCATCTACATCATGATGACCTCTTTGACCCCTGCTCTCTGACCTTTTCCCCGTCTGGTACAGACGCACCAGGAGCAAGGCCGCTCTTATAAGGAGGTGTGCGCCCCAGTGATCGAGAGGCTGCGTTTCCTGTTTAATGAGCTCAGACCTGCCGTCAGTAACGACCTGTCCATTGTGTCCAAACTGAAACTGCTGAGCTCTCAGCCTCGCTGGAAGAGGATCACGCAGAAACTGATCAGAGACCGCCGCAAAAAGAGAGGTGACAAGTCTTAACAGTTGATTTAAGTGTTCAGTGTAAAAGTATGTTCAGTTTATAATTATAGCATGTTTTGCTTAATCTCTTAAGTGCCTAAGAAGTCAGAGTCAGCTGATCTGGAGGAGTGCAAGATGGAGAGGGAAGGGACCAATGAGGAACTGCCTGCTCCCATCAGCCCTGCCCCTGTGGACAAGAAACAAACTGCTGTCAAATCCTCAAAGGTTTGCTGTTCTCCATTTACCTTCAGCATTTTTTTTCTTTCTCTCTCTCTCTCTCTCTCTAATTTAATTATGCATATCTCGGCAAGATCTGATGAGGCTATCACAGCTGTGGTGTGTCTCTATAAATAACTCTTGCGTGTCTGGCTCTGTCATCTTGGTGTTATCTGCATGTGTTATAGCTACAGAACAGTTCCTTTCAAAGTTGCTTTAAATACCTTCCCCTTCAACAGCAGCGTTTTCAGTTAAAATTACTTTGGGGATTCACTTATGCGTTCTGTATGTTTCAGAGTATTTATGCTTTTTCTTTTTGTTTGGCATAAACTTATTTTCTTTACAAATTTCTTTACTTATTTTACTATTTTTACTAATTTACTTGCTATTTTATTATTTCTTAACATTTAATGTGTTGTTTTGGTTGATTTAATGTTTTTCATCGAATGGGTCTCTTTGCGTTATTAAATTTGACATCTTAAATCATCTCTATTGAGGAGCTTTTCTTTACAAATATGATTAAAATAGGGCTGTGAAATTGATTAATCAAGATTAAGCGCATACAAAATAAAAGTTTGTGTTTGCACAATATGTGTGTGTACTGTGTATGTATATATATGTATGTATATATATATAATACGCACATACATGTATATATGTAAGAAATATATACATGTATGTTTGTATTTATATATATATATATATATATATATATATATATATATATATATATATATATATATATGATGTGTTACAATACATTGTACCTTGCTCCTTGGAATATGCAGAACAAGCTGTCATATTTGAGATGAAATTTAATTACACACACTTTAGTACCTTAGTTTTAGATTTTAATACATGTCAGGTAATGTGGGATGTCACCTTGTCATCTACATCATGATGACCTCTTTGACCCCTGCTCTCTGACCTTTTCCCCGTCTGGTACAGACGCACCAGGAGCAAGGCCGCTCTTATAAGGAGGTGTGCGCCCCAGTGATCGAGAGGCTGCGTTTCCTGTTTAATGAGCTCAGACCTGCCGTCAGTAACGACCTGTCCATTGTGTCCAAACTGAAACTGCTGAGCTCTCAGCCTCGCTGGAAGAGGATCACGCAGAAACTGATCAGAGACCGCCGCAAAAAGAGAGGTGACAAGTCTTAACAGTTGATTTAAGTGTTCAGTGTAAAAGTATGTTCAGTTTATAATTATAGCATGTTTTGCTTAATCTCTTAAGTGCCTAAGAAGTCAGAGTCAGCTGATCTGGAGGAGTGCAAGATGGAGAGGGAAGGGACCAATGAGGAACTGCCTGCTCCCATCAGCCCTGCCCCTGTGGACAAGAAACAAACTGCTGTCAAATCCTCAAAGGTTTGCTGTTCTCCATTTACCTTCAGCATTTTTTTTCTTTCTCTCTCTCTCTCTCTCTCTAATTTAATTATGCATATCTCGGCAAGATCTGATGAGGCTATCACAGCTGTGGTGTGTCTCTATAAATAACTCTTGCGTGTCTGGCTCTGTCATCTTGGTGTTATCTGCATGTGTTATAGCTACAGGACAGTTCCTTTCAAAGTTGCTTTAAATACCTTCCCCTTCAACAGCAGCGTTTTCAGTTAAAATTACTTTGGGGATTCACTTATGCGTTCTGTATGTTTCAGAGTATTTATGCTTTTTCTTTTTGTTTGGCATAAACTTATTTTCTTTACTAATTTCTTTACTTATTTTACTATTTTTACTAATTTACTTGCTATTTTATTATTTCTTAACATTTAATGTGTTGTTTTGGTTGATTTAATGTTTTTCATCGAATGGGTCTCTTTGCGTTATTAAATTTGACATCTTAAATCATCTCTATTGAGGAGCTTTTCTTTACAAATATGATTAAAATAGGGCTGTGAAATTGATTAATCAAGATTAAGCGCATACAAAATAAAAGTTTGTGTTTGCACAATATGTGTGTGTACTGTGTATGTATATATATGTATGTATATATATATAATACGCACATACATGTATATATGTAAGAAATATATACATGTATGTTTGTATTTATATTTATAAATATATATATATATACACACACACATATAAATGTACACACACACATATAAATGTACACATACACATATAAATGTACAAAGTACACACACACATATATTATGTAAACATACTTTTATTTTGGATGCAATTAATCGATTTGACCGCCCTATTATACAATTAATTTGATGAATTAAACATATCATGTAATTCATTCTATTAAAATGTTATTTGATTGACAGCCTTATTAATTTTCTTCTCTTTTATCTTATAGCAGGATAAGTGGCAGCCTCTGCTAAACACCATAGGCAGTGTTCAGAAGTACCGCTGGTTAAAGCACAGCGTTCAGGGCTCCTTTTCTCAGTCCAGCCTCATGAGTGCCATCGTTGAGTTTGCTCTGAAGGAGGAACCGCTGGATGTGGAGAAGATGAGAAAGTGCCTCCTTAAACAGGTAGTTAAAATGTTCAACCACTCCCATCTCTTTTGCCTAATAAGGTAGTTCTGAACCTGTAAATGACACTATTTAACTTTACTGTGACATAAAGAACTATGGGAGTCTGATATTATCTGACACTTGTGTACAGCTGGAGCGAGCTGAGGTCCGGCTGGAGGGTATAGACACTATGTTGAAGCTGGCTTCCAAAAATTTCCTCCTGCCCTCTGTACAGTACGCCATGCTCTGTGGTTGGCAGAGAGTCATACCTGAAGGGACCAATATTGGGCAAGTATAAAGATATAAGCAGGAAGTTTGATTTCTTGATCCTGTTCTACAGCATCTCGTAAATTACATTGGTTTGTATTTACATTAATATCTGTTTTGCCTTGATAGAGAACCACTGGCTGACTGTCTAAAAGATGTAGATCTCATACCTCCATTTAACCGCATGCTGCTGGAGGTGACATTCGGTAAGCTCTATGCCTGGGCCATCCAGAATATCCGCAACATCTTGTTGGAGGCCAGCGTCAAGTTCAAAGAGCTGGGTACGTAATTTCACTATACCCAAACAATTGCAGTAATCCCATACACTACCATACACTAATCATACACTACCCGTTCAAAAGTTTGGGGTCAGTAAGATTGTTTCTTTTTGTTGGAAAGAAGCCTGTTATACTCACCAAGGCCACATTTATTTGTTAGAAAATACAGTAAAAGCATTAATATTATGACATATTATTACAATTTAAAATAACTGTTTTCTCTTTGAATATATTTAAAAATGTAAATTTATTGCTGTCATAGCAATACTGAATTTTGACCGTTACCCCATTCTACAGTTTCACATTATCAATGTGGAAAACGCTTTTGCAATTTTTTTTCAGGATTCTTTGAAAAGCAAGTTGGAAAGAACAACATTTAATTGAAATATGAAATAAGAAAAAAAAAATCTTACTGACCCCAACTATTTGAATGGTACGGTATTTAGTGTTGTTTCCTCTCCTCCAGGTGTGCAGCCAGTGCCTCTGCAGACCATCACTAATGAAAACCCAGCAGGCCCCAGTCTGGGTACCATTCCTCAGGCTCGCTTCTTGCTGGCCATGCTCCATATGCTCACTCTCAAACATGGAGCCAACAGCCTCAGTCTCCTGCTGAACTCTGGCATCCTCGCCCTCACCCAGAGTGTTCTTCGACTCATTGGTCAGGACCTTCTCTTGACTTGCTTTCTTCTTAAATCAGATGGGTTTTAGTTTATAGGGCCAATTGTATTGTGTCAGATTGGTTAAATACAATGGGGTCAGATGGACTTTATTGTATAGGGTAAAGGTAGGTTCTATTCTGTCGTGTCAGTTGATCTCTGTTCTATAGGGACATATTGGTTCTATTTTCAATTGGCACAGTTCTTTACTGTTTAGTGTGTTTTGTAATTTTTGATTGTGAATATGTTGGCATTGAATTGCACAGGTCCCAGCTCTGATAGCAGTGAGGAGGATCCGAGCTCTGTAGCTCATGGAGGCTCAGCTACAGTTCTCGAGGAGTCCAGGAAGGAGACGGCCCCCACCCCTCTCCCTGCCTCTGGCCCTGAGTTGGCAGTTATGATGAAGATTGGCGCTAGGGTGATGAGAGGACCTGACTGGAAATGGGGAGATCAGGTAAGTTAAAGCTGACGTGTTTGCATTTGTGCACGCTTGTATAAATTCTGCATTGCAAATGTGGATAAGGCATTGTCAGCTCAGTTTATTCATGTTCCTGTTTGGTGTGTGTTAGGATGGGCCACCACCAGGCCTGGGCCGTGTGATTGGGGAGTTGGGAGAAGATGGCTGGATTCGTGTCCAGTGGGACACCAGCAGCACCAATTCCTACAGGATGGGCAAAGAGGGCAAGTATGACCTTAAACTGGCCGAGCCGCCACCTGCTACCCAACCGGCCACAGAAGACTCTGATACAGAGGACGACACAGGTTTGTGATGCACTTTGGCAGTGTGTCATGCCAAAGAAAAAAGCATTTACTACCCAGTCTTGGTCTTAAAATTGCCATGTTGATTTATACAGTCTCTTTCTCTCTCTTTCTCTTAGAAGGGGAGGTGATGGAGAAGAGTGTTCACCCCACTGCAATCATGTTGACCAGTACAGTTAATCTGTTGAAGACACTATCACTATCCTCTGGGATTCATGCTGAGGTGATGCAGGCTGACGCTATTAGCACTCTGTGCGGTCTACTCAGGATACTGGTGGAGAGTGGAACCAATGACAAGACTGGTAACAGCACAGTTCTTTTTATTATATTATATTATATTAAAATGTTTGTACACCTTTTGTTATAGGTGTATATATTTGGGTGTATTAAGTGTATTTTATGGATCTATTAGGTGTGTTTGTACTTGTCATAAAATAATTGTTAGGTACAGTGTTAGTTACTGCTGTTCCGCTGAGCATGAGTGGTACACGAGTAGAGCGTTCACATGGGCCAAGAGCCACTCAACGGAACTCACATTCAAAGAGCGGAACATTGAGCGGAGCGTCACACCGCGCAGTGACGACAGCTGGAGGGAGAGTGAGACCTGCGCACTGAACACTCCTGGGCGGTGCGACGCACGCTATATTTTTGGCTGTTTTTCTCTTTCGGCCAAAAACTGAAAATGCCATTTTCAGCCGATTATTTTTGGTGGCCAAAATAATTGGTGGTGCATCCTTAACATTTTAAAAATGTAAATACACAATAAGTGCATTGTATCAAATTACAAATTTAAATGTTGGCATATACAGTGCCTTGCGAAAGTATTCATTTTTTTCACATTTTGTTATGTTGCTGCCTTATGTTAAACTGCTTTAAATTACTTTTTTTCCATATCAATCTACACTCCATACACCATAATGGTAAAGCAAAAAACTGGTTTTTAACATCTTTGTAAATGTATTAAAAATAAAAAACTTAAATGATTCCATTGCATAAGTACTCATACCCTTATCTGGGACAGTTGAAATTTAGCTCAGGAGCATTCATATTGCTTGTAGATGTCACTACACTTCAAGTGAAGTTAACCTGTGGCAAATTCAACTGAATGGGTATAATTTGGAAAGGCACACACGTCTTAATTAAAGGTCTAACAGCTGATCATGCATATCAGAGCAAAAACCAAGCCCTGAGGTCAAAAGAACTGCCTGTAGAGCTCAGAAACAGGTTTGCATCAAGCCACACATCTGGGGAAGAGTTCAGAAAAAAATTCTGCTTCATTGAAGGTTCATAGAAGCATGTAGTCTCTGTTACTCTTAATGGAAGAAGTTTGAAACAACCAGGACTCTTCTTCGAGCTGGCCTCCTGGCCAAACTGATCAATTGATGGAGAAGGGCTTTGTTTAGAGTGGTGAACAAGAAGCTGATGGTCATTCTAGTTGAGCTCCATGATCATATATGTGCTGAAAATGTGCATCTGCCCCATCCAACCTGGCAGAGCTTGAGAGGTGAAGAGGTGAGGAGAAGAATAGTGGATAATTGCCAAATGATAATGAGAAAAGCTTGTCGCATCAAACAAAAAAGACTTGAGACCGTAAGGGTGCTTCAGCTAAATATTTAGTTAAGGGTATGAATACTTACGTGATGTACTTATTTCAGTTTTTTTTATTTTTAATACATTTACGAAGTTGTGACCATTCTGTTTTTGCTTTGTCAGTATGGTGTATGGAGTGTAGATTGATATGAAAAAAAAAAGTAAATTAAAGCAGTTTAACGGTATCAGTGGTGTCATGGCAGGCAGACACACTGAAGCGGTACAAGTCAAATTTTGATGTTTTCATATTCATTAGCCAACTAATATTAGTGTTGTAAAATTATGGAAGTATTTTACTAAAGGTACCATATATTAGTTTGAGCCCTGGTGTTAGATGATATTGAATTTTTCTACTCTGTGTTTCTATCAGGCTGTGCTCGAAGACTACCTTCCCAATGCAGAAGACCCCGCGGTGGGCAGTCTGATGGCAGTTTTGGCAGTCATTGGTGGGATCGATGACCGTCTGCGTCTGGGAGGACCTGTGGTTCATGAGGAATATGGGGAGGGCACTGTGACTCGCATTACACCTAAAGGACGAATCACTGTTCAGTTCCATGAGATGAGAAACTGCAAAGATCAGTCTGCTTATACGCATCGTAGAGGGCCACCAGTCCTTCACTGCAGTCACGCTACAGAGACAGGTGCCAGCATTGCATCCTGGTTTCATTCAAAACTTACTATGCGTTCTGACTGGATTTACCAAGAGGATGAGAGCTTTCCTTGTCTCATTACTGTATAATTGTCATTCTAAAACCCTCATGAGTACCACAGGGTTAAAATGAGTGCAGAAGTGTGGTTGACAGGATCCATTTATTGCCACTTAATCCATCTTTCCTCACTCCCTGGCAGATTCTTGCCCTGCGGCTTCTACAGACAGTATTGCCATCCTGGGATAAGACACAGCGCTCTCAGGATATGAAGTTTCTGGTGGAGAAACTCTTTGGGTTCCTTGGCAGCTTGCTCAGCACTTGTTCCTCAGATCTGCCCCTCCTCAGGGGTACTGTACATTTATTAACTCCTTTCTCACTATGTGCTCTTTGAGGTAGTACAAATTATGATATTAGGGTGTCACTTTAACATCACGTTTTGTGCTTTACAGAAGGTTCGATACGTAGGAGAAAATCACGCCCTCAAGCCTCTCTGACAGCCACTCACAGCAGTACTCTAGCAGAGGAAATAGTGGCCGTACTGCGTACACTTCACTCCCTTGGCCAATGGAATAGCCTTATTAATGAATATATTAACTCCCAGCTCAGCAGTATCAGTGGTGTCATGGCAGGCAGACACACTGAAGCGGTACAAGTCAAATTTTGATGTTTTCATATTCATTAGCCAACTAATATTAGTGTTGTAAAATTATGGAAGTATTTTACTAAAGGTACCATATATTAGTTTGAGCCCTGGTGTTAGATGATATTGAATTTTTCTACTGTGTGTTTCTATCAGGCTGTGCTCGAAGACTACCTTCCCAATGCAGAAGACCCCGCGGTGGGCAGTCTGATGGCAGTTTTGGCAGTCATTGGTGGGATCGATGACCGTCTGCGTCTGGGAGGACCTGTGGTTCATGAGGAATATGGGGAGGGCACTGTGACTCGCATTACACCTAAAGGACGAATCACTGTTCAGTTCCATGAGATGAGAAACTGCAAAGTCTGTCTGCTCAGTCAGCTCAAACCGGTACATATGCACCAACACACACTGTTCAGAATACTACATCCCACAATGTAAGGTGCTCAACTTGGGAAGTAACAGTGTTCTCTGTTGTATATTGTATGTATACTACTGTACAAAAGTTTGGGGTCAGTAAAAAAAAAAAGGAAAGTAATTAATACTTTTATTCAGCAAGGATGCATTTCTATTAAAAAAAAGTGTTCTTTTGAACTTTCTTTTAAACAAAGCATCCTTAAATAGTAATATTTCCAAAATATTACTGTTTTTACTGTATTTTTGATCAAATAAATGCAGCCTTGTTGAGCATAAGAGAACTTCAAAAACACCTAAAGAAAACGGTTATGTATAATATAATGCACAATATGTATACAGTACTATATATTGCAGATATATTAAGAGTAGTATGTTTTTACGAACATAGCCATTGTTTTTCTCTGTGGTTGATATTGTTGTTTATTTTCTGTCTGTCTTGATATCTTTGTAGCTTCATATGATTCCATTCAGTGTTCAGAACCTGCCCTTCACTGAGCCTATGCTGACAGTGTGGGCTCAGCTAGTCAACTTGGCGGGAAGCAAACTAGAGAAACAACGCATGAAGAAATCCCTCAGCAGAGGACTTCCGGGTATGCTATATGCAGCAATCACTAATCAAATGTCATTTTGATGATCTGATGAGGAAAGAAATAGACTCTTCATGCAGCTTCCCATGCAAAAACATCTGTTCCACACAAGCAAATCTGTGTATGATAATAAATATTCTGGTTTGCGTGTTTGTCATTGCAGCTGATCAGGTGGATATTCATTTGTTGCGGTGTCAGCAGCTCAGACTGTACATCCTGAAGGCAGCGCGTGCTCTGCTCTCCCACCAGGACAAACTCCGACAGATCCTTTCTCAGCCAGCCGTCATAGATGTCAGCCCCAATCCTACAGGTAAGACCAGAATGTCTCCCTTCATCTCACTTTGAGTTTCAAACCGCATGCATTTTCTGATGCCCTGTTTCACTCAGTTGTTCTTGTCTTCCTCTCTGTGCAATTGCTTCAATGCTTTGGTGTCATAAGTGATCCAATTTTCTCACAGCTCACACACCAACCAGAAAATGCAGGAGTGATTATATCTATTTACTGTTTGTAACGTACTGGGAATTACTGAATCCTGTTCAGTTGTATCGCATCACTGCCCCCTGCTGGTCACGTGTAGATTTTTTTTTTTTTTTGGTCACTGACTTCTAAATATGGTGTCTTTTCTCTATGTTCCATATCTGTCTCACAATAACAACACTCTATTTTCTGTGGATGACAGTTTTGTAATGTGCTTCTGTAAGGATTTTGTGTGTTTGTGTTCAGAGGATCAGTGTGCTTTGTCTCCTGATGTGGGAGATTTTTCTCCTGAGGGTCCTCAGCCTCCCCTCATCCTCCTCCAGCAGCTGCTGTCAGCATCCACTCAACCATCCCCCATCAAAGCCATATTCCACCGCCAGGAGTTGGAGGTCATTTTATAACAAATATTATTTGTCTGTGGTAATCAACATTATGCCTCAGAGGCTATTGAACTTGCTTTGTATGTGATTGTGAACTTAAAGCCTTTCAATTACCAGCTCAGATGTTACATCACCCAGTTCTTCCATGTTTTTTCTCCCTGAATTTCAAATGACTTTGTGCCTGTATGTGTTTAGGCAGCAGCTCTGGCAGTGTGTCAGTATCTGGCAGTTGAATCCACACACCCATCCTCCCCCTTGTTTGAGGACAGCAGCTCCAGCGAGGCCACCACACCGGTCACTGTGCAGCATATGCGCCCACCCAAGCAGAAGAAGCAAAAGACTTCACCTGTGCCACCTGCACCCATCGTCCTGCAGCTGATGGATATGGGCTTTCAAAGGAAAAACATTGAATTTGCCCTTAAATCACTGTCTGGAACCACAGGCACTTCTGTAGTGCCAGGTAATGCACCGCTAACTCAAGTTTTTGAAATGTTCAATTGAATTCGGTGTCTGTACTACATGCTCGGGTGCCCATAGTTTTTGCCCTTAGGAGAAAATGCCATTGCTTATCATGGTATTTGAGTAAAACCATGATCATTTGGGTACTATGATGTAAGTTATACCTTTGTTTTTCAAGTACCTTGAAGGAAATACCATGTAATATTAATATTGTAATCATAAAGTATCTGTGTCATGCTACCGCCACAGTATTTTTTTTGCTAGCAACTTACTTCGTGATTGCTTGGGTTTCAGGCGTAGAGGCTTTAGTGGCCTGGTTGTTGGACCATCCAGATGTTCATATTACAGATCTGTCAGATGCAGATACTGTATCAGATGAATACTCTGATGAAGAGGTGCTGGAAGAGCTAGAAGAGCCTGAACCAGCCTTCCCTCTGGTGTGTATAATTACACATTCACACAATGATCTGTCACGCACCAGATATGAGGTGCAGATTCACTTGTAGTCATTAAATTAGGGATGCACCGATATGAAAATTTTGGCCGATACCGATTATTCTTTATTTTTGAAAGCCGATAACCGATATGTTGGCCGATAAATCTACCAGCCTTCCCTCTGGTGTGTATAATTACACATTCACACAATGATCTGTCACGCACCAGATATGAGGTGCAGATTCACTTGTAGTCATTAAATGCATAACAAACGCTCTTTCCCTTGCATGTCAGCCTCCTGGGGTTGTGGTGACGGAGAGTCAGACGTTTAAAAAGAGGTCCGATTTTCAGAGCAATGATGATTACGCTGTATATGTGAGAGAGAACATTCAGGTGAGGAGCTGCGCTTGTTAATTTACTGGTTTTGGGTGGTAATTGACGAGGTGAGCTGATCAGAGACCTGTATGTGTTGCAGGTGGGCATGATGGTACGGTGCTGCAGGACGTATGAGGAAGTATATGAGGGAGATGTGGGGAAAGTGATCAAGCTGGACAGAGATGGCCTGCATGATCTGAATGTGCAGTGTGACTGGCAGCAGAAAGGAGGAACGTACTGGGTCCGTTACATCCACACTGAGCTGCTGGGTAAATCCTCTTTATGTTCTGCTCTTAAACACTTTATATGCACTTAAGACTTAATAGTTTGTTTTAAATAAATAAATGTAGCTCTCTATTTTCCAGGGTTTCCTCCCCAGAGTTCTCCGTCTCATATAAAGATTGGTGATAAAGTGCGAGTGAAGCCCTCGGTCACAACGCCAAAGTACAAGTGGGGATCTGTCACACACAGGAGCGTGGGAGTGGTCAAAGGTAACACGATTATGTTTAAACAGTTGTTCTTTCACAGGTTTAAACAAATTGTTCTAAAATTAACTGCTTGCACTCACGATCAAAACCTGTATGTTTTTCAATTTTGGTTGAACTATCCATTTTTGTATTTAGCAAATTGTTTTGCTATGTGTGTCAAACCTGTAGACTTTCTCTTTAAGTATAAATGAGAACTGTTGTAGTTGGGCTTCATCATTCTGTGTAAATATGTAACATTTGTGTCCAGCATTCAGTGCCAATGGGAAAGATGTGATAGTGGACTTTCCTCAGCAGTCACACTGGACTGGGCTGCTGTCAGAGATGGAACTCGTTCCTAGCGTACATCCTGGTGTCAGGTACACATCTAGACAACAAATAAATAATTAAACAATTAAATAAACTAACTTATAATAGTTTCCCTCCTGTTCCTACATTCTTCTTAGGTGTGACGGATGTCAGATGTTCCCTATAAATGGCTCCAGGTTTAAGTGTCGGAGCTGTGATGACTTTGACTTTTGTGAGAGCTGCTTCAAGACCCGTAAACACAACCCTAGACATTCATTTGGACGAATAAATGAACCAGGTCTAGGAAAATTTCATGTGTGATTCAATAGCTACTATGTCATTTAGCATTACAGCAATTTAACCTAACCATTTCCCTTTAGGTCAGTCACCCACCTTCAGTGGGCGTTCAGGAAAGCAACTGAAGAGACATCACAACAGTCAGCGTGGCATGCTGATTGATGAGTGGTCCAGAGTGGTGAAGAACCTCAGCGTTTCATCCTCTGTTAACCAGGCGTCTCGGCTCATAGACTGTGGAGAGCAATGCTGGCAGTCCTCAGGCTCTCAGGGCAAGGTCAGTCTAATTATAGACATATACTGCCTTTCAAAGATTTGGGGTCAGTAAGATATTTTATCTTTATTTTATATTTTATGTTTATACTTTTACTTTACTCATGCTTTAAATTGGTTTAAAAGTGACGTGAATAATATTATAAAAATAGTTTCAAATCGATTTTTTTTTTATTAGAAGATTCTGAAAAAAAAAATGTATTACCGTTTCCACAAAAATATTAAGAAGCACAACTGTTTTCAACATTGATAGTAGGGGTGTAACGGTTCAAGTTTCTTACGGTTCGGTACGTATTGCGGTTTTGGGGTCACTGTTTCGGTATGGCTAGATATGGGGGGTAAGGGGGAGTTATTAATGGTTTTAGAAATTTCCACAATTTTTATTTACAATATTTGCTAACAAAAAAATAAATGATCATTAATTTAAAAGTTTGCCTTAAGTTTTTTTAATAACTGGGGAAAATGGTATTTATAGATAATAAATAGAAACAAAAGCACAAAATAAGTGTCAGCAGGTCAGAGGTGGAATTGTCCGCATGAACTCATTCAGTCTTCTGAAGGGACTCATTGTTGTAATCATTACATTTAATGTTCATTTAATGTTCTTAAATGGAATAAAACTCCCATTTACAACAAAACAAAATATACAACAATTTGATGTCTGACAACAAATATAGCATATATTAAAATACATATTTCAGTTCATATAATTGCGCTCCTTTCTGATGCGCTCCATCGTGCATGCGCATTGACTTTTAATATAATTTAAGACTCGATTGCTGATAAAAACAAATTGTTTGCGAAACAGAAACAAGCGCATTTATTTCAGTTCGTTATATTTTCATAATGTCAAATCCATTGGAAATGAATGTAATAGAGTCTGATTGCCTAAAGCTTTTAATGATAGCAGAGGTGGAATTGTCCGCATTAACTCATTCAGTCTTCTGAAGGGACTCATTGTTGTAATCATTACATTTAATGTTCATTTAATGTTCTTAAATGGAATAAAACTCCCATTTACAAAAAAACAAAATATACAACAATTTGATGTCTGACAACAAATATAGCATATATTAAAATACATATTTCAGTTCATATAATTGCGCTCCTTTCTGATGCGCTCCATCGTGCATGCGCATTGACTTTTAATATAATTTAAGACTCGATTGCTGATAAAAACAAATTGTTTGCGAAACAGAAACAAGCGCATTTATTTCAGTTCGTTATATTTTCATAATGTCAAATCCATTGGAAATGAATGTAATAGAGTCTGATTGCCTAAAGCTTTTAATGATAGCAGTGAGGCTGATCACACAGGATGAAGCTCAAATTATAAATGAATCTAGAGATCCAAAAACTTAATATTTGTTCATATAACAACATTAAACGACAGCTAAAACTGGTTCCAAACCAAATGGTTCGGTCTTTTACCGAGAACCGTCGCACCCCTAATTGATAGTAATAAGAAATGTTTCTTTTGCACCAAATCAGAATGATTCCTGAAGGATTTAAGAGAGAATTCCACTAAATGCTGCACGGAGATAAACAAACTCTTCTTCTGCTGCGCTTTGTTCCTGTGGATGCAGAAAGACGCATGGATGCAGACACGAGACAACAAAGCCTGTGCTGTGCAATAGCGAAAGTTGTTACTCCAAATGTGTATTTGAAGCTTTGTTTTTTCGACAAAACATATCATCCATATCCTTTGTTAGAACTGAGATTAATCGCAGGACAAATACATATCGAATCGAGGATGGCGAACCAAATGGTTCGGTCTTTTACCGAGAACCGTCGCACCCCTAATTGATAGTAATAAGAAATGTTTCTTTTGCACCAAATCAGAATGATTCCTGAAGGATCATGGGGCACTAAAGACTAGTGTGTAATGGCTGCTGAAAATTCAGCTCCATCACAGGAATAAATTACATTTCTTAAAACATACTAAACAGAAAACAGTTATTTGAAATTGTAATAATTTTTTACTATTTTACTTTTTGATCAAATAAATGCAGCCTTGCTGAGCATATTTTTCAATTTAAAAAAAACTTAAACCGACCCCACGTTTTCAACAGTACTGTATATTTGGTTGTTGACATAGCAAAGATCAATTGATTGTGAGTTTAATTGATTGAAAAAAAAAAATCTAATCTGTGTTTTGTTTTGCTTGTTTTCAATAGCACTGGATCAGGCTGGAGCTTTTCCCAGACATCCTGGTCCACAGACAGAAAATGATTGTGGATCCAGCTGACAGCAGCTACATGCCTTCACTGGTGGTGGTATCAGGTAAAGAACCATGAAGCCTTTCAGGTCATTAATAGTGAAGCCTATTATGGGTGACCTGATCAACTGTGTTTATTCTCCAGGTGGAAGCACTCTCAACAATTTGATTGAGTTGAAGACCATCAACATCAATCCCACAGACACTGCTGTCTCTCTGCTCAGTGATTGCACAGAGGTTGGTTTGAATTTCCTCAAGTATTTGAGAGAATTTTCTTTTGGGCTGTTTCTTTAGGAATGTTGAGCATTGTTGTGTTTGTGTGATTCAGTATCACAGGTACATCGAGATTGCCATAAAACAGTGCCGGAGTTCAGGGATTGACTGTAAGATCCATGGCTTGAGCATTGTGGGGCGTGTCCGCGCCGAGGATGAAGATCTGGCTACTGTGCCTTTCTTGGCATCTGACAATGAGGAAGAGGAAGATGAGAAGACAGCGACTGGAAGGTGTGTGTGTTTTAGTGGATTTGGTCATGCATAAACTGAAAAAGCATGAACTGGTACATTACTTAGTTTCTCTTTTCATCTCCCTTTGCAGTCTGACTCGAAAGAGGTTGTCAGGGCTGGAGTCGGCTGCCATCATCAGAACCAAAGTCTTTGTCTGGGGTCTCAACGATAAGGACCAACTTGGAGGACTTAAGGGGTCTAAGGTCAGTAATGTGTAAATACACATTCAGTTTTGTAATTTTTTTTTAAATGTAATTTTATTTAAAAATGATTTATTTATAAAATTATATTTTCTACAGATGTCTTGAATATTTGATAGCATAACTTTTATAGCAATAGCTTGTAATGACAAATCTTATTGTCTTGTTTTCTCTCTCAGATCAAAGTCCCATCATTCTCAGAGACCCTGTCTGCTCTGAATGTAGTGCAGGTGGCTGGAGGCTCTAAAAGTCTTTTTGCTGGTGAGTGGTTTAAAAAAACAACAACAAAAGGCCTTTGTGCTGCTCAATGCCATGTGTTACATTGATTGCACCGCCAGTTAAGTGGTCTATGAAATTTAAGTTCCAACCCTTGGTGTATGATGCAAGGTGGTAAAAATCACTGTAACACATGGCCTTGTGTATCATTTTGCTTTTGCTAAATTGCAGTAACAGCAATATGGTACATGACACCAGTATGTCTCTCTAGTTGGATTTTAAATATAAAATTACTGTTTTTTTTTAACATTGGATGCATATTATTTCGCAATTAGATACCAGAGTATTACATTATACTCTTTTAACCAAATTAATGATTGATTCTTTGTCTTTACAGTAACGGCTGAAGGCAAAGTTTATGCCTGTGGAGAGGCCACTAACGGAAGACTTGGTTTAGGACTGTCCAGTGGAACCATCCCTATACCAAGACAGATATCTGCCCTCAGCAACTATGTGGTCAAGAAAGTTGCTGTACATTCAGGTATGAGCTTTTTCCATTTGAAGGTAAACGTCCTTTGTTGTCAGAACGTGTTGTTTAAAGTGAGTTAACTTTGTGTTCAGGTGGAAGGCATGCCATGGCGTTGACTGTGGATGGAAAAGTATTCTCTTGGGGGGAAGGAGATGATGGCAAGCTTGGGCATTTCAGTCGAATGTAGGTTATTTATACCCCTTCCAATAGGAATGTAGAATATGTGGAAGGCTTCTAGAGGGCTCTGATGAGAATTTTTTATTTTTTTTCCCACCAGGAACTGTGATAAGCCACGGCTAATTGAGGCATTGAAAACCAAGCGCATACGAGATATTGCCTGCGGCAGCTCTCACAGTGCCGCCATCACCTCCAGTGGTGAACTGTACAGCTGGGGTCTGGGTGAATATGGCCGGCTGGGCCACGGGGACAACACCACTCAGCTCAGACCCAAACTGGTATTTGTTTTAGTTAAATCCGTAAACTCAGACGTCTCTGTTTTGAACTGCAGGGTTACCATATTTTTTACCATATTTGCAGAGGAATCCCTATACGGTGGAGGTGATGTGCAATGCATGACGGAAACACATTTGATATCATATACGATTTTTAATATGTAATTGAAAATGAATTGTGACAGAATCTTTGAAGATTTAAGTCATGCCCAATTTATGTAGATAGTAGCAGCACTTGTATGCCTATTTCTACATAGAAGATATCTGTCAAGTAACAAGATGACTGGAAAGTGGACTGAGTTGCTTTAAAAAGACTTTGTTTATTCTCATTGTGCAGTTTAAATTCACTGAGTGCTGTGTGTATCCCTCGTTGCACTAGCTCAAACTTGTCTGTGTCTGGTTTGTAGGTCAAGGTGCTTCTAGGCCATCGTGTTGTCCAGGTGGCTTGCGGAAGTCGAGATGCCCAGACCCTTGCCCTCACAGATGAAGGTATAAACCAGATTTTTGTTTTGTGGATTTATTTGTGAGGTTCATTTGTTTTGTGTTTTTTGTAGTATTTTTTGTTTCTTTTGATTTAGTTTGGTTCTGTTTAGTTTCTTTTAGTTGTGTTTAGTTCAGTTTTATTCGGTTCTGTTTAGTTCTGTTTCACTTTTTCACCTGGTTTCGTTTAGTTCCATTTAAGTTTGTCTACTTTGCTTATTTTAGTTTAGCTTTGTTTGGTTTCGTTTGGTTTGCCTCAGTTTAGTTGTGTTTAGTTGAGTTTGGTTCTGAATCCAATTTAATATTGAAAGTAGAAAAATGAGAAAACGGCTCCTTTTTGTTTGTTTTTTTTTCTTTCCCTAAAAGATGAAAAACGAGAATTCAGCTTAAATTTTCATTTTTCGTTCATGGGTGGAAAAATGAATAAACAGCTTGAATATTCGATTTCTACATGTGGGTGGGAATTAAACGCCCCTTTCTGCTGATTGGTCAGCCGAAGATCAAACCGTGCCATCATCAGTTCTTCTGCAGTATCACGCAGCAGAATAATAGTCCTCCACTGCTGCAGTTGTACGGATTAATAACCCATTTTATCAATTTCATATTTTTCTCATCAAACAGACTAATGAATAGCTCGATACAACTCGTACTGGGGCAGAGTCTAGACAGGTCTTTCTTCTGTGTAGACAAGCGGTTCTTAAAGTGATAGGGGGTCTGAGAAATAATTTGCTATAGCCTAAAGTATTTCCAGACTGTAAAGTCGCTTTTTTTAATCGTGATTTATTCCAAAGTGACTTATATGATGCATTTAACATCAAATAATCTAAATGAAGCCTTTTAAAAGACAAGTATTGGCTGTGGTTGATGTTTGTGGCATGCGCCGGAAAGATGCTCAAGGAGACAGAGACGCTGAAGCAGCGCATTCTGTTGTTCACTTTATTTTTCAAAGGCATGACATTTTGTAGTTATTTTGAACGTAACGTTACACAATTAAAAATATGCATTTTACCATACGACTATAAATGACAGAGTATTAAGTTATTTCCCAATAACAAGTGAACGTCAATCAGTACTTAATATTAATGTAAACTGCTTTAAATATGACTGCTGCTTATTTCCTGTGCGCTTGACTGTAGTCGCGTCTGTCTGCTTATTGAGTTTAACCCATCGCAATTTATTGGAACTGTGTGAACCATAGTGACTACTCACCTTAATGTTGTTCTAAAGGCTTATTACTTAATAACACAAAATGTCCTGCTCGCACTTGCCAAAGCGGATGCATATCTGTCGTAAAATAATCCTATGCATCTCGTGGTATATATTCCAAGCATTCTAAAGGTATACTTAGGGTTTGGTGAGAAACAAAGCGAAATGGCAAGTTATTATATTTTATGAAAATCTTGCGTTGCAGTGCGAGTGCGCAGTAGCTCATATGCACAAGTGCATATCCTTTTGAGATATCAATTTTAATAAAACACAAGACTACATTATATAACTCTAACAGTAGGCTATTATTCCGTGTAGGTTCATCTGGGTTTGTTTAGTTTAGCTTCATTTGGTTTTGTTTGGTTTGCTTCCATTTAGTAGCATTTAGTTTCATTTAGTTCTGTGTAGTTTCATTTAGTTTGGTTTGGTTTCATTTAGTTTGGTTTGTTCTCATTTAGTTTAATTTAGCTCTGTTTGGTTTAGTTTTGATCGCCTTGGTTTTGTTTGATTTCCGTCAGTTTCAGTTGGTTTCATTTAGTTTTAGTTTTGTTTGGTTTCACTTAGCTTCATTTGGTTTTAGCGTTTCTTTAGTTCTGTTTTTTTGTTGTTGCAGACATGAATTTATGTTTTTGTATGTTCTTTAGGACTGGTGTTCTCATGGGGAGATGGAGACTTTGGGAAGCTGGGCCGTGGCGGAAGTGAAGGCTGTAACATTCCTCAAAACATAGAGCGTCTAAATGGGCAGGGGGTGTGTCAGATCGAGTGTGGAGCTCAATTTTCCCTTGCCCTCACCAAATCTGGAGTTGTCTGGACCTGGTAAGAATATAGTAGGAGATTTTTATATATTTTTTTAAAGATGCATTACAGTACAATTCATGACTGAGTCTTAAAAATAGCTTTTTTTCCTCAGTGAAGCTTTTTAACATGCTGCTGTTGCATTGTGCAGGGGTAAGGGGGATTACTTCCGACTGGGTCACGGCACAGATGTTCACGTGCGCAAACCCCAGATGGTTGAAGGACTGAGGGGAAAGAAGATTGTTCACGTGGCTGTAGGGGCCCTGCACTGCCTGGCTGTCACAGACACTGGACAGGTGTGCTACGGATTTGTTTTTTTTACATTTATCTGATTGGCGCTGTAGAGGATTAGCACAAGAACGGTTTCCTCCTCTTTTTTTATTTTGGCACGTTAAGCAACTCATGGTGCATGGTAAACAAGACTCACCTTTTGCTGATGAACAGTTGTTCACTTTAGTGCTTGTGTAATATGAAGTGTTGTTTGGGTAGGTGTACGCTTGGGGGGATAATGACCATGGGCAGCAGGGGAACGGCACAACCACAGTCAACAGGAAGCCTACGCTGGTGCAGGGTCTAGAAGGGCAGAAAATTACCCGTGTGGCCTGCGGCTCCTCTCACAGCGTGGCCTGGACCACCGTAGATGTCACCACACCCTCCGTCCATGAGCCTGTCCTCTTCCAGACTGCTAGAGACTCCCTGGGAGCCTCTTACCTTGGTAATTTCCACCCAATCTACATTGCTTTTCTGTTGTTGTGTGCCTGTTGCTTAAAGTTAAAGTTTTGTGGTTGTTTTTTTTATAGGTGTGCCATCAGACAGTGATCCATCTTTACTAAGTAATAAGCTAAATGGTGTGAACAATGTAAAGCCCAACAGGCCATCTCTGGCAAAGATTCTGCTCTCTCTGGACGGTAATCTGGCCAAACAGCAAGCCCTGTCCCATGTACTCTCTGCCCTGCAGATCATGTATGCCAGGTACAACCTTAATGCATATATTTAGGGCATTAGAAGTACTCTGCATACCAGGTCGATTGTTTTCTGCTCCATAAAATAAAACAGAAGCTCTGGCATCACTTAATTGCTCTCATGTCACACAGGGATGCTGTGGTGGGAGCACTGATGCCTGCCTTTATGATGCCTCTGGAGTGTCCCTCCAGCTCTCCAGTGCCCCCTTCGGATTGTTCATCAGCCTCCAGCCCCTGTGAGGCTGAGGGTCCGGCCCTGCCCTCAGAAACAGAGGAGAGGGTCAGTCCGCACCCCTGGATGGACAGCAAACGAGGAGAGGTGAGTAGTGCTGCCTGTGCATGACAGTGTCATTCACCTTTGCTGTACTTCTTTTTTTTTTCTTCAGTAGTCAATATTCTGTAACATTCAACTTTTTTATTTATTTGTTATTTTGTTCTTAATACACAATCATTCAAATGTCCAAAACAACAGTATATGCCGTGCATTTACAAGCTCAATCTGTATTGTGCGGTCTAGGTGACCACGTCTGAGGATGCCACTACCCCTTCATTAGCGGTGACCCCTTCAACTGCCTCTGCTTCATCTCGCCCCTTTATCCCAGTCACAGATGACCCTGGTGCTGCCAGCATCATAGCTGAGACCATGACCAAAACCAAAGAGGTCAGTCTCACATGCTTGCATGCAGTGGTTTTATGAAGTCAAACATTTATTTATTCATTTGATTTATTTGCCAATTTATTTTAATTATTTGTCAATTTGTTTTTTTTTTGTATAACTTTTTTTATGGTAGCATCAACTTGCTATTTTAAAACAAAATTTCTTAAACTACTATAACGAATTGTAATTATGGATGCATGTCACAATTTATGATTTTGTGTTTCTTGTTTTGTTTACCAGAAGGGATTTATTGTTTCATTGTTTGACCAAGCTAGCGTTCATTTATTTATTTTACATTTTTTGATTAGGGGACACTGTTACACTTTTAAATGTATGGCTCTTTGACTGCATTATAGAGGAAAAATAACATAATGGCCCAAGTGAATTCTAGCCTGCCGGTCATAGAAATGTTCCTGTTAATCATTCTTTGCAGATGTTTGTTGCTGATCATTAAAATGAAATGCGTGCATTTTAAGTCTGTTTAAAAAGGATTACATTTGTATGTTGATTTTGCTTCAATCCCTTGTATAAACTAAAGTGATATTTACAGTGGCCTGGTTTGATTTATTGGAACAGGACTCTGAGAGCCAGAGTAAAGCAGTGGGCCCAGAGCCACAATATCTGGATGAGTTCACCAGTCTGCTGATTCCTGATGACACACGTGTGTTGGTAGACCTGTTAAAACTGGCTGTGTCTCTGCGCTCAGGCGATAAAGGCAAGGAGGTTCTGTCTGCTGTGCTGTCTGGCATGGGTACAGCCTTCCCACAGGTAAAAACTAACCTCTTTAGTAACTCACTACATGTTTTTCTAACGTTATTATTTCATCTTTGAAATTCTGTGTACTCGTATCTAAGTGTGTTTGTTGCATATCTGCACACAGGTGGCAGATATGCTGCTGGAGTTGTGTGTGACTGAGTTAGAGGACGTAGCCACTGACTCTCAAAGTGGACGGCTGTCATCGCAGCCTGTGGTGGTGGAGAGCAGTCACCCATACACTGACGACACTTCCACTAGCGGAACTGTGAAAATACCAGGTCACCTTGTGTTTTTCGGTTTATTCAGCATCTCGGCAGCCATCACAACCCTCATTAATGGTGCTTGCCGAAGCATTATTATTTTTATTTGAACAAATCCCTAAATCTAATTATTAAACTTTGGCACAGTCAGGCAAAGTTTACATAAGCCAAAAATCTAGTATTTTATTGTTGATGGAAATTAACCGACACTCACCAATGATGTTTTAATTTGAGCAAATATACAGTAAAAACAGTGATATTGTGAAATAATATTACAATTTACAGTAACTGTTTTGTACTTTTCCTGTGAGGGCAAAACTGAACATTTAGCTGCCATTACTCTAGTCGTCAGTGTCACATGATCCTTCATCTCCTTCAGCTTCACGCTGAAGAAACATTTCTCATTTTTATCAATGTTGAAAACAGTTGTGCTACTAAAACTGACACATTTTTTGATGAATAGAAAACTCAAAAGAACAGCATTTATTTGAAGTGGTCATTTTTCTAACATTATACTGTAAATGTGTTTTATTTTTACTTTTGATCAATTTAACATGCTTATTGAAGAAAAGTATTAATTTCTTTCAGAAAAATGTTTTTTTGTACTGTAGTGTTAGATGCTTTATGAAGCTCTAGGAATTAGGAGATTTAAAGACATGAAAATTTGATCTTGTGTGTGGTTATTTTAGGTGCTGAAGGATTGAGGGTGGAATTTGATCGCCAGTGTTCAACAGAAAGGAGACACGACCCTCTTACCATCATGGACGGAGCCAATAGGATTGTGTCTGTTCGATCAGGTCACATTCTTTATTGTTTTAACACTAGTAAAAAAGTTCTTTGAGCACTGGCCACATAACCATACCTGTTTCCACCCCTTTAGGTCGGGAGTGGTCTGATTGGTCCAGTGAATTGAGGATTCCGGGAGATGAGCTCAAATGGAAGTTCACCAGTGATGGCTCTGTTAACGGCTGGGGCTGGCGCTTCACTGTCTATCCCATCATGCCTGCCGCTGGTACATCAGTTTAATATGATATCACTTCATTGTACATACTTCATATGTAACATGATATTCTGAAGTGCTTGACCTTTTATTGAATTACCTGCAGGTCCTAAAGACCTCCTGTCAGACCGTTGCATTCTGTCATGCCCTTCGATGGATTTAGTAACATGTCTGCTCGACTTTCGCCTGAACTTTGCTTCAAACCGTAGCATTGTTCCAAGGTTGGCAGCCTCACTTGCTGCTTGTGCCCAGCTCAGTGCCCTGGGTAAGAGAAGAACCTTTGAAATAATTATTCTATTCTATTCTTACCTTATTAGGGCTGCCCTCGACTAAAGATTTTTCTGATTGACAAATAGTTGTTAATTTAAAGCGGTTATATTATTCGACTAATCACATGTTTATATTAATAAACCATATAATTCATAATAATGAGCCTTTAATTGCCAATAGCTTATAAGCATTATGCTCGCGCTCAAGTTCACAGAGACCTAGACGGCAGAAAGCGGACCCTGTTTTCTTTCATAATTTTACAAAAACACAATGTTTTGTTGTAAATTTGAGTGCACAAATGAAAGGAGACCTTTTACAGATTCAAAAGATGTGTTACTCTTATCTGTGAGTATTTTAAGTTAAAAGCAAATGATTGCACCGAGTGAGCGTGCTACTATTCAGCTTCCTCACAGACACTTGAATAGTGTATATTTTTCTAGGTTAACGTTAAAGCGAGCGGCCATGTAATGACGCTACTACTTACATGTTTCAGATGATAAGCCACATTTGAGGTCCCAAACGAAAGGACCGTGTGGATGTCCTTACCGATGTCCTGTAATTACCACATAGACCAGCTATTAATAATCTGTCCATCACAAGCTACGTGACTTTCCCACCTCCCTGTGGAAATTATAAAAAAAAAAAATTGGATCGACTAAGCCTCTTCTCGTTGACTAATGGCTAGTCGACAATTAGGGGGCAGCCCTAATTATTATATGTTATATTATAAATTATTTCTAATAATTTATTTTTATATTTATAATTAATACGGTTATGCTTTATAATTATTATAATTTCAACTAGTCCATGTTTTGGAGAGATTGTAGATGTGAAATATTTAGATGTCTGTCCATCACAAGCTACGTGACTTTGCCACCTCCCTGTGGAAATTATAAAAAAAAAAAATTGGATCGACTAAGCCTCTTCTCGTTGACTAATGGCTAGTCGACAATTAGGGGGCAGCCCTAATTATTATATGTTATATTATAAATTATTTCTAATAATTTATTTTTATATTTATAATTAATACGGTTATGCTTTATAATTATTATAATTTCAACTAGTCCATGTTTTGGAGAGATTGTAGATGTGAAATATTTAGATGTCTGTGTGTGTCTTGGGCTTTTAGCGAAAAAGGTTATTTAATACTTGAAATCTTGAAATCTCAGATTGAAATCTTAAATTTAAGGTTTTATAATCAATATTTGACTGTGTCTTTGTCTCTATGTGCTTGTTCAGCGGCTGGTCATCGTATGTGGGCCCTGCAGAGGCTACGAAAACTCCTAACCACTGAATATGGCCAATCCATAAACATCAACCGCCTCTTAGGAGACAGTGAAGGAGAGGCTCGCTCTATGGTTAGACAGTGTTCTATACAATTAAATAAGTGAATAAATAAATAAATAAACATAATAATTGACATAACTTGTATTGAATGTTGTGTAGAGTTTTACAGGAAGTGCACTAGCTGCTCTGGTGAAAGGACTTCCCGAGGCTTTACAGAGACAGTATGAGTATGAGGAACCCATAGCCAGAGGTGGCAAACAGCTGCTCCACAGTCCTTTCTTCAAGGTATGTTTGTTTCCCTAGCAGATGGACATGGTAAGATTGCAGTATGAGTTTTCCTAAAATAATATTTTTCTTGCTTGTCCTATGTAGGTGTTGGTGGCACTTGCATGTGACCTGGAGTTGGACACTCTTCCATGCTGTGCTGAGACACACAAGTGGGCTTGGTTCCGCCGCTATTGTACCGCCTCAAGAGTGTTAGTGGCTCTAGACAAGAGGACGCCTTTGCCTCGTCCTTTCCTGGATGAGGTAGGGATTTATAATATTGGTTTGAAATGACTTACTTTACGGAGAGCTGTTGTGTTTATGTTCTGTCAATGTTTTGCATTTTTCCACCAGGTGGCAAAGAAAATCCGTGAGCTCATGGCAGACTATGAGAACATGAACACACTCCATGAGAGTCACAACCTGTTTAAGAGGGAGCAGGATGAGCAGTTAGTTCAGTGGATGAACAGGTAAATCAAATAATTATTCTATTCTATTCTTACCTTATTAGGGCTGCCCTCGACTAAAGATTTTTCTGATTGACAAATAGTTGTTAATTTAAAGCGGTTATATTATTCGACTAATCACATGTTTATATTAATAAACCATATAATTCATAATAATGAGCCTTTAATTGCCAATAGCTTATAAGCATTATGCTCGCGCTCAAGTTCACAGAGACCTAGACGGCAGAAAGCGGACCCTGTTTTCTTTCATAATTTTACAAAAACACAATGTTTTGTTGTAAATTTGAGTGCACAAATGAAAGGAGACCTTTTACAGATTCAAAAGATGTGTTACTCTTATCTGTGAGTATTTTAAGTTAAAAGCAAATGATTGCACCGAGTGAGCGTGCTACTATTCAGCTTCCTCACAGACACTTGAATAGTGTATATTTTTCTAGGTTAACGTTAAAGCGAGCGGCCATGTAATGACGCTACTACTTACATGTTTCAGATGATAAGCCACATTTGAGGTCCCAAACGAAAGGACCGTGTGGATGTCCTTACCGATGTCCTGTAATTACCACATAGACCAGCTATTAATAATCTGTCCATCACAAGCTACGTGACTTTGCCACCTCCCTGTGGAAATTATAAAAAAAAAAAATTGGATCGACTAAGCCTCTTCTCGTTGACTAATGGCTAGTCGACAATTAGGGGGCAGCCCTAATTATTATATGTTATATTATAAATTATTTCTAATAATTTATTTTTATATTTATAATTAATACGGTTATGCTTTATAATTATTATAATTTCAACTAGTCCATGTTTTGGAGAGATTGTAGATGTGAAATATTTAGATGTCTGTGTGTGTCTTGGGCTTTTAGCGAAAAAGGTTATTTAATACTTGAAATCTTGAAATCTCAGATTGAAATCTTAAATTTAAGGTTTTATAATCAATATTTGACTGTGTCTTTGTCTCTATGTGCTTGTTCAGCGGCTGGTCATCGTATGTGGGCCCTGCAGAGGCTACGAAAACTCCTAACCACTGAATATGGCCAATCCATAAACATCAACCGCCTCTTAGGAGACAGTGAAGGAGAGGCTCGCTCTATGGTTAGACAGTGTTCTATACAATTAAATAAGTGAATAAATAAATAAATAAACATAATAATTGACAACTTGTATTGAATGTTGTGTAGAGTTTTACAGGAAGTGCACTAGCTGCTCTGGTGAAAGGACTTCCCGAGGCTTTACAGAGACAGTATGAGTATGAGGAACCCATAGCCAGAGGTGGCAAACAGCTGCTCCACAGTCCTTTCTTCAAGGTATGTTTGTTTCCCTAGCAGATGGACATGGTAAGATTGCAGTATGAGTTTTCCTAAAATAATATTTTTCTTGCTTGTCCTATGTAGGTGTTGGTGGCACTTGCATGTGACCTGGAGTTGGACACTCTTCCATGCTGTGCTGAGACACACAAGTGGGCTTGGTTCCGCCGCTATTGTACCGCCTCAAGAGTGTTAGTGGCTCTAGACAAGAGGACGCCTTTGCCTCGTCCTTTCCTGGATGAGGTAGGGATTTATAATATTGGTTTGAAATGACTTACTTTACGGAGAGCTGTTGTGTTTATGTTCTGTCAATGTTTTGCATTTTTCCACCAGGTGGCAAAGAAAATCCGTGAGCTCATGGCAGACTATGAGAACATGAACACACTCCATGAGAGTCACAACCTGTTTAAGAGGGAGCAGGATGAGCAGTTAGTTCAGTGGATGAACAGGTAAATCATCTTCACAAATCTGAGACCACTGTTGCTTTAGGTAGTGAAACAAAAGCAAAAATGACTTGGTGACCCTTTAAGTAATTTTAAATGGGTGGGATTCTATTTGAATCCTTTTTAAGTCATTTTTTATTTTATTTCACAATTTCTTTTTCTTTGCTGTTCACTAGACGACCAGATGATTGGACGCTCTCAGCCGGCGGCAGTGGGACCATCTATGGCTGGGGACACAATCACCGGGGTCAGTTAGGTGGTATTGAAGGAGCAAAAGTCAAGGTTCCAACACCAACAGAAGCGCTAGCCACACTGCGACCTGTTCAGCTGATCGGTGGAGAGCAGACCCTGTTTGCTGTAACCGCTGATGGGAAAGTAAGGCTTAATTCGCTTTTTACAGTTTAAAAATTTGTAGTTCCAAGCCAGCAAAGGTTTTTTTTAAGTTCTTCAATACAAATCCCATTTGTATTTTTCAGTGCTGCCCTTTTTTTAAAAATTAAATACAGACCAATGTTGTATATTCAGCAGTTGCTCTAATTTCTAGTTTTAGTTACTTTGTCAGCCGAATAATGTCTTCTGTGCTGTCCTTAGCTGTATGCTACAGGATATGGTGCCGGCGGTCGTCTGGGAATAGGGGGCACAGAGTCTGTCTCCACTCCGACCCTGCTGGAGTCGATCCAGCATGTTTTCATCCGGAAGGTGGCTGTGAACTCTGGCGGGAAACACTGCTTGGCTCTCTCCTCTGAAGGAGAACTGTACTCCTGGGGAGAGGCTGAAGATGGAAAACTGGGACATGGAAACAGAAGGTCAGCCCCATACTGTGGTTACTATGTTGTCCTTTCACATGGGCACCTTTGGTTCATCTCATGTAGTGACCTTCTACATACTTAACTTTCAGTATTTAACAGTTTCCCATTTTCACAGTGAAGACAAATGCTTACAGAAAAGTACATTTTTGGACATGATACCATGATTTTTAGAACTCATACCAAGGTATTCTTTAGAAGTGTCTTTGAGTACCATGTAAATTCTGAATTCTGTACTATGGGATATGACCGTATCGTACCACAGTACTTCATGTAGTTCCTTAAAGAAGCAAAAGTCATTACCCACTCAAATATGTGCGCTAGACTATTACTGATTCGGTTTAGCAGCTTATACCAAGAAGTGCAGTTTGTGTGACTGGTAGTGCTGTCTTTTTCCCAGCCCATGTGACCGTCCACGCGTGATTGAGTCTCTCAGAGGGGTGGAAGTTGTGGACATTGCGGCCGGTGGTGCCCATAGTGCCTGCATCACAGCCAGCGGAGAGCTCTACACATGGGGCAAAGGTCGTTATGGTCGCCTGGGTCATGGAGACAGTGAGGACCAGCTTAAACCAAAACTGGTGCGTTCATTAAGAGTTATGCATATTTGTCTGCCACAATCTCATAAAACTATTTTTTTTTAAACAAAAGCATGATACATTACTGTATTTAATGAAATGTGCATTACTAAATATTGTTAGACTTTTGTAATATAATAATTATTATATTATACTTATATATTATTTTATGCTCCGAAATCAGAAATTGTTGTGTAAAATCTCTATAATTAAAAAAAAAAAAAAGTTTTTAATAAGCAACTGGGAAAATGATGGAAATTCATTGAAGATGGTGTGGGAACATCATAATAATAATTTAATAACATTATATTTTAATTATTTTAATATAATAAATTGTTTTTATTAGTATTAAAATTAACAACTGTAAACTAACCAAACAAACTTGTTCTCTGAAATTAGTCGGTGGTAATTAGTATAATTATTTTTGGAACTAGATTATTTTGAAAACTGCTGCTAAATTTGGTTTAGTTAGTAGCATCTCGACTAAGACTGTATATTCTGTGCATTGCTTGTGCATGTTTATAGGTGGAGGCTCTGCAGGGTCACCGGGTGATAGACGTTGCATGTGGCAGTGGGGACGCCCAGACCCTGTGTCTGACTGATGACGACATGGTCTGGTCATGGGGGGATGGAGACTATGGCAAACTGGGCAGAGGAGGTAGTGATGGATGTAAAGTGCCAATGAAGGTGGGGACTGCTGGTGTAGTTACTCAAGCATCAAAGGTTTTCTGGTTAGTGATTCCAGTATGAATATTCACATCTAATTGTCTCTCTCTGCTCAGATTGACTCATTAACTGGATTGGGTGTTGTGAAAGTGGAATGTGGCTCTCAGTTCTCTGTGTCGCTCACAAAGTCTGGAGCAGTTTACACATGGTAATCAATCCCATAATACAGTGGCACATAAACTGAGCTTTTATTTAGTGAGAACATATGTTATTTCCATGTTTATGTGTGTTTTAGGGGAAAAGGCGACTACCACAGATTGGGACACGGCTCGGATGATCATGTACGCAGACCCCGGCAGGTCCAGGGTTTGCAAGGCAAGAAGGTCATCGCCATAGCAACTGGTTCTCTTCACTGTGTATGCTGCACAGAGGATGGTAGGTCATCTGGGTATAAAGTCGTTGTAACATGTTTATATACTATAAAAGATATCAGGTTTTCTTGTATACCTATTTGTATTTGGAGGACTATTTGCTAAAGACATGAATTTGAACATACAGGTGAAGTGTACACATGGGGTGACAATGATGAGGGTCAGCTCGGTGATGGGACCACCAATGCTATTCAGCGGCCCAGGCTCGTGGCGGCACTGCAGGGCAAGAAGATCAACCGTGTGGCTTGTGGCTCAGCACACACACTTGCCTGGTCCACTAGTAAACCTACCAATGCTGGAAAACTGCCTGCTCAGGTACTGTACCACCAAATATAGCTGAATCACATACAAAAAACAATCTCAAAGAACTAAATATTTAACAGTTCAACCTTTTAAACATATTAAATGCAGAGGTGGACGTAGTACACAAATCAAGTACTTGAGTAAAAGTACAGATATCCTGATGATAAAATATTACTCCAGTAAAAGTATTAAGTACTCCTTTTCGATTTTACTTGGGTAAAATGTACTTAAGTATTAAAAGTAAAAAAATACAGATTGATAAATGTTTATTTATTTAGCAATTTTATATGCTCTATCCTCTGTAATGTAGTAAAGTAAAAGTTTCCTAAAATAAAAATACTCCATTAAGGTACAGATACTTGAAAATTGTATTTAAGTACAGTAATGAAGTAAAAATACTTACTGTTACTGTCCACCACTGATTAAATGTCTGTCTGTAGGTTCCTATGGAGTACAACCACCTGCAGGAGATCGCCATCATAGGCCTGAGGAACCGATTACTGCTACTGCACCACATCTCTGAGCTCTTCTGCCCGTGTATTCCAATGTTTGACCTAGAAGGACGACTGGGTGAAACTGGACACGGCGTCTCCGTTGGCTTTGACACACTGCGAGGAATCCTTATTTCGCAGGGCAAGGCAAGAATATTTTTTTAATTTTTTTTAAATTACAGTTCCTGATTATATTTATTAATATTTGTTTTAAATATCTATAGGAGGCAGCATTCCGAAAGGTGGTTCAAGCCACGATGGTTAGAGACCGACAACATGGGCCAGTGGTGGAGCTAAACAGGATACAGGTACACGTGTATACACTGCACATGTGGTTTGAGATTTGCATTCAATTGTATCCTAATTTGGTGTCAAATAAATCTCACAATCAGGGTCCAAAATTTATATCGTGCATGTAATTATTTATTTTTTGCACATTTAAAATATGTTAGCAAACAGGTTCTTATGTCAGTACATTAAATAGTAACCCATTGTGTTGTTATTGCATGTTATATGCTAATTTTTGCTTGCATTTCCCACTTGGTTTGAGAGTTCATTAGAGTAGTAAACAGGATCCAAAATGAACAATCACTTTTAATGGGCAAAAATAGCTAGCGGGTCCTCTGTAAAATTATCTCCCTTTCCCTAATCACCGTAATTACTGTTGGCTTTCCTGCTCCTTCCTGTCAGCATGGACACACATGTACTATGTACACCACATGATTATTACCATCCATTTTATTTTAGCTATCATTTTGAGTGAGAATTAGCAGCACTTAATCTTAATATTTTGAGAGATTTGGTCATTAAGCATCATGTGTGATTTGTTTTTGAATCTGCTCAGCATGAGGTTTACCCCCAAATATGTTTGTTCATGGACCATTGGCCCTCTAATAGGGCCCTTGGAGCCTGGCAGTGATCTGGCAAATCTCACAGTCGGAAAGCATAAGAGTGGAGTTTATAGATCAGTGCAGAAATGCTATATATGGAGAAGCCTGTAATCATTTATCCTTATTCTCTCGATCAGGTCAAGCGTTCCCGCAGTAAAGGAGGACTGGCAGGGCCGGATGGCACCAAGTCAGTGTTTGGGCAGATGTGTGCTAAGATGAGCTCTTTCAGCCCTGACAGTCTGCTGCTGCCACACCGGGTCTGGAAGGTCAAGTTTGTGGGTGAGTTTAAATTTAGAGAAGGATGAAAGATGGGAAAATGTAGGGGGAAAATGGCCCTTGAATCATGTCTTTAACATGTTTTTGACCCTTTGTGTGTGTTTGTAGGAGAGTCAGTCGATGACTGTGGTGGTGGATACAGTGAATCTATCGCAGAAATGTGTGAGGAACTACAGAACGGTCTCACTCCTCTCCTCATCGTCACTCCTAATGGCCGAGACGAGTCAGGAGCGAACAGAGACTGCTTCTTGCTCAACCCAGCTGCCAAGTCCCCTCTGCACATCAGCATGTTCCGCTTCCTAGGTACCTTCTGCTTGTGTTTCCTACATTGAAAATACTTTGTAATTTACTTTGTACTTTGTAATTGCACAGCTGTAGAATTTCCCACCATTAGATCTATTGATATACTATGCTCTCTTCATTTATTTGTGTATAGGTGTGCTCCTGGGCATAGCAATCCGTACAGGAAGTCCTCTAAGTCTGTACCTGGCTGAACCTGTGTGGAAACAGCTGGCAGGCATGAATCTCACCATCGCAGATCTCAGTGAGGTAGGACCGTGGGTGTGAGTGAATCCAAGGCTATTATTGTCAACTAAAACTAATGCAAAATTAAAACCTAAATGTTTAAAAGAAAGGTAAGAAAGATTTAGATTTATCAGCCGAGAGTTGAAGCTTTATGGGAAGCTTTATGGCAAGTTATTCCTGCTTTCTGGAATACCCCACCAGTATCACATTGATTACTTGACATTAGGGTTGGGTTGATCTAGGGTTGATTCTTAAATTTATTTTCTTTATACCCACTTATATGTATATATTATTTAATGATCTCTGAGATGTGCTGTCAGAGATATAAAGCGTGTGGGTGAGTGTGTCGTGTAAAAATGAATGAGTGTATGCGTCTCCTGCATTCACGCTGAGATCATGTGCTGCTGAGACGTCTGCAGTGATGGCGTTTCTCAGCGCAGGATGTCTCTTGCTTACAGAGCAGCTGTTGTTTGTTGCTTTTGCCTGGAGTTATTAGAAAGGTTAAAAAGAGAGATTATAGAGCACAAGACAACAGTGAGACACTGACTGTGATGCACTCAAAAACACACACACACACACATTCTTTTCATTCCTTTTCTATAGTCATTTGCACAGAAGAGTTGAAGCTTTATGGGAAGCTTTATGGCAAGTTATTCCTGCTTTCTGGAATACCCCACCAGTATCACATTGATTACTTGACATTAGGGTTGGGTTGATCTAGGGTTGATTCTTAAATTTCTTTTCTTTATACCCACTTATATGTATATATTATTTAATGATCTCTGAGATGTGCTGTCAGAGATATAAAGCGTGTGGGTGAGTGTGTCGTGTAAAAATGAATGGGTGTATGCGTCTCCTGCATTCACGCTGAGATCATGTGTTGCTGAGACGTCTGCAGTGATGGCGTTTCTCAGCGCAGGATGTCTCTTGCTTACAGAGCAGCTGTTGTTTGTTGCTTTTGCCTGGAGTTATTAGAAAGGTTAAAAAGAGAGATTATAGAGCACAAGACAACAGTGAGACACTGACTGTGATGCACTCAAAAACACACACACACACATTCTTTTCATTCCTTTTCTATAGTCATTTGCACAGGTTTAGATTATATTCAGTCATTTTTATTGAATGAATCTCCTCTACAAAATATACTCCTGCTAGATCACTTCATCTGCAATTTGAAGATTTGCTGGTACCTGAATCTGAAAGTGGCAAACTTTTATTTAAGTATGCTTAAATCATTCAAAAGTTTGGGTCTGGTTATTTATTTACTTATTTATGTATTTGTATTATGTAAGTCTTGTATGCTCACCAATGCTGTTTATTTGATCAAAAATCAGTAAAACCAGAAGTATTGTGAAATGCTACTTCAATTTAAAATAAATAAAAACAGAATTGCAAGATGTAAACTCAGAGGGGAAAATGTCAAAATTATGAGATGAAAACTAAACAAAATGATAAACAAAATTCAAAAGTTTTTCTCAATTTATTTATTTTTTTCTCAGATTTGTGAGTTTATATTTTGCAATTTTGTGTTTATATCTTACAATTATGAGAAACAGTCCGATTTTTGAGAAGTCACAATTGTCTTTTTTTTTTTTATTCCATTTTAATTTTTTAGTCCATTCCAGAAACAAGTTCCCGTATGTGTGTATATATATATATATATGTATGTATATACAGGTGCATCTCAATAAATTAGAATGTCTTGGAGTATATGTGTGTGTGTATATATATATATGTGTGTGTGTATATATTCAATTTTTAGTTTTTGTCCTTTTTGACCAGGTGCTGGATAAATACAACCCACCCGATCACTTCCTCCCAGAGTCCTACACCTGCTTCTTCCTGCTCAAGTTGCCCCGCTACTCCTGTAAGCAAGTCTTGGAGGAGAAACTGAAATACGCCATTCACTTCTGCAAGTCCATTGACACGGATGATTATGCACGGATTGCTTTGAGTGGTGAGCCAGCTGCAGATGACAGTAGCGACGACTCTGACAATGAGGATGCGGACTCCTTCGCTTCCGACTCCACGCAGGATTACCTGACAGGCCACTGAACTCTTAACCCCTGGTTAATCTCCGTCTCACAAACATGCACCTATACACACACACACACACACACACACACACACACAGACAGAGAGAGACAGATAGTGTGGTAAGTTGTAGGAAGTCTTGAAAATAAGCTGACAAAAGAAGTTTAAATGAAAACTGAACCGAAGTTGTCTGTTTTAATCTCACTTATTAATATGTGCATAGACACAAATACAACTAAATGAAGAGTAATAAGTGTATATCATTATGTGCAATTAACTTTAAAGCACTATTAAGCTGGTGAAAAGCAAGATAGATATGTTTTTTATCATTGTTGCGAAGAGAACCAGGAAGACAGGAGAAACTACACATCTCTTTGTTAAACATTGTGTTCATGTTTTATTACAGAGGATAGACCGCTTAGCCTAGCACTGTGGTAGACGACTCCTGACAGACTCCTGATCGAATTTGTGTTAAATAGGTAGTATTAAGAACTTCGCCTCTTTATTTGAAAACAGCAGTGTTTCTTTAAAAACCTTTTTAACTGAGCAGGATATTTTGTTTTCTCATTTGGTCAGTGGAAGCCGGATCAGGGGTTGTTTTTAGGTTGTCGGTCACTGTATTCTCTCCTCCTCCTATATGTGTCTGCACTGTTCTCCTAATGGAATGTATATAATTTGATTGTGCCATGTGTTAATGAGAGGTCTCATTTCCATGTTATAAATAAATGTTAATTTCTGTTAATAAATTTAAACCAAATTTCTCTTGTAAGTTTTTTCTCGTTTTGAATTTTTTTCCCCTGAATTTTTTAATGATTTAATGATATATTTTTGTGTGTTCATAGAGTATAAATTGCTTGTTTGAATTGGGGAAAATTCAATGCAGAATTATAAAAAGAAAAAAATACTAGCCGATAGCAGTATAGTCGCCATTATATCGTTCAAAATATTGGTCGATATATCTGAAATGCATTGTTTTTTTTTTTTTTTCTAAATTATATAATTTTACATTTTCTGTTTTTGCAGACTGTATGTTAGCTTTTGGTGTTTTTATTCCTAAAGACAAACTGTACAGTAAATATCACATTTTAAGCGGTAACAAGTAACAACATTTATGTAGTTTTAATTGTGCTTTATGTAATGTGATAACCCGTATTTAAAAAAAAAAAAAAATCCATATTCACTATCACTGAAAACACTGGTAACAGTTTATTCTAAAATTCCAATTTGTCGTTTGAATTTGAAAATGTAAGCCTTGACATTACTTTCTTCTGGTATCAGTACTAGAAATAATGATTCTACTAATTATAATGAAATCAAATGCATTCGAAAAGTACAATTTTATATACAGTATTTGAAATCCCCAAATATGTAGTCAGTTTGCCATTGTTTCAGGTTAACATGGTTTAGGTTTAGTCTCGTATGGGATTTCCAGACCAGTTAAGACACATTCCTCTCAAACACTAACGTAAACGGTTTAATAAAATCCTCATGATGACCTGCACGACTCGTACTGGTTTATGTGGAAAAGAGTGAGCACTTCCACCACCTTACAGCTCTCACGTCCACTCAGAGGATAGTCAAGTGATGTTTATCTGTGAACGGGCTGAGCCATCTAGCTCTGCATATATTGCTCTTGGTTCACAGGCTTTGTTGTTAATGGACCACAGTATTAAGCTCAGAGGTCAAAGGTCACATCGTAACCCGCCTTCTCTGTTGTGGAGATAAAAGGGCATTAGGGGTGCATGACAGAGAGGAAAGTGTTTTATGATGGCTTAGTTTGGCTTAGAAATCCGGAGCATTCTTCACCATCTTAATGGTTTTTTCTTTCTTTCATAAGCAGAAATCACAGAGCGCATTATGCTGGAATGAGTCAGGTGCTCTCCGCATGTCGGGTTGGCTCCAGGCAAGCAGAAGAAAAGAACCAGAGCTGTAAAACTGTACTTGAATGCAGCAGGAAGGTCTGACTTTACTGTACATTCATAAATTGTTCAAACAGCCTGAGAAAACCAAAACACTTGTTTTAAGCTAATCAGGCTGTGTATCTGAGTTTTGGTTTGTGAAAACTTTATTAATGTACATTTAATGTTTGTGCGTGGATAATTATCTGTCTTGTGTATAAATTGGCCATAACCTTCAGACACAAGTGTAGATGAGTGAAGACCTCAGACTGTGTGCACTGGGCCAAAATCCAAAATCTAGAAGTCACATGAAAGTCTTTCTGACTCTTTCGTCTTCCCCACAGCGGCACTTTTTTTCGACCCGTGTGATACACCACATCACCTCCATGATCACTCGGCTCTCTCCTATTTTCCTTCTGGCTGCTTTATAACACTTTCACATGCATTTTATTCTGAAACGTGATGCACAATGAAAATAAAGAACGTGTGTAATTTTAGGTGCGCTGCAGAACTGTGTGTTAAAAGTTGCCCACCCAGAATCAGCTTCTGGATAATTTGTCTTTTAAGCTCTATCACTTCCTTTAAAACATAAATAGGATGATGCCATATGACCTCTGGCGTTGAATTTCAGGGTTAATTTGCCTCCTCTGACAATGACCTCTGCCAATGATCTGCTCGCTATGACTCCTCATTTGTGCTGACACCCGTTTTTTTGTTTTTTGTTTTAATTGCAGGTTGTGAAAGAATGTGAAAATTTTAATTACAGCTTGTGACAATTGTGTGGACGCAGATTGTAGAAAAAGGGGGAAGTATCGAGTTAGTGATGCTGCTAAATAAACAAAAAAATAATGCTTATAAAAGCTCATTTTGCATCTCAAGGGACTGATCAGTTCTTTTGAGTATCAACTTTGTCTCCGATGTTTCTCTTAAATTGTGTTAGGCACAATAACAGCAGGTGCAAATGAGCCAATTGATGAAATACAGTGAATTTATGGAGCTATAATATTAATGTTAAGAGCACTGGAAAAATTGGATATGGAATCATCGGATGACAAATATTTACATTCATATTGAAATCTCTGACTGATTACAGTCTTCCAGAGCACAGCTTGTGATATTGATGAAGATTTTCAAATCAACTCTCAGCAATCTCTTCTGGAATTTTAGACAAGACATGAAAGAGTTATTTCAATTGCTCAATTTTTTTTGTTTTGTTTTGTTTGACTGCTCCTTGTAAAAGCAGGTCTTGGTCAGTAAGACGGATGCAAAGTAGGGCATTGAGATTCCTTTAGCTCTTGTAAGTAAGAGAAGCTTTAAGCAATAACGTCATACATAGTAAGTTGCTAGTGAGTAATACTTGAGTATGTGTGCAAGAAACAATTTTTTTTCATTGTGTGTATTGTTTTGGTATGAAAAGGGGTGGGTGTCTTCAGGCATTTGGGGGAAAGTTGGGCATGCCTTAAACACTACCAGTGTCAATGAGTGTCCACTTCCACAAGGTATCTTAGGGTCTGAGAGAAGAGGAAAGAGGGAGGGCTGTTTATTCACTCTCTTCTGTCTGTGTGCAGAGTTTGCTGTGGGTCACTCCCTCCATCTCCTAGAAGTCTACAATTTCCATTTAAGGGTGAGCATCTTCCTCCTCCTCCTGAGCTCATGAAAACCTGCAGCCTGTGTGCGGCACTCGTGAGCCAGCCAGAGCCGTTTGGACCAACTGGGTTTCTTTTTTGACTTTTTATAATTTTTGTTTTAATGTTATAATATCATCGTTATCATTATCTCGCCCGTTTCATTCTCTGAATTGGCAGGTAAGAAATTATTTTGTTAAAAAAAGAAAAAGAAAGGTAAGAGTTAAATTATACAGGATGGGTAAAATATTTCTTTATATTTTATTACAATTTAAAAATTGTCTAAACAAATAAAAAAGGGACCTGTTTGGTTACTAAACTGCAACAGTGAAGTGAATTCAATTATAATTTGCATATATCTTTAGTTAACTTTGTATGTAATTTGTAATGGTGAATATAATTTAAGACCCATGTATATCCAGTTCTATTTTTATTAAGTGTATTTGCCTTTTATATAAACAAAATCCACAAATGCTGTGGCTGGGAACTTTGATGAGCTTCGTCTGCTGGAGGGATTCTCTGGGAAAAGAGAGACGCAGAAATTGCAGCAGGCTGCAGCCATTCCCTCGGGACACTGCATAATCTACACTGACATCCATCAAGATGATAGGTAGGACAGTAGTTATTGAGGTTTCGACTATCAAATACTTAATCAAGAATAAATACTGTTAAAGGGATATTTCACTCCAAAATTATAATTCAGAATTCATCCATCATCATATACTCATTCTCATTTTGTTCCATACTTGAATTACTGAACACAAAAGAAGTATTTTAAGGAATGTTTTTGTCCATACAGTGAAAGTCAGTGGAGTCCAAAGCAACATCAAGTCCCACTGACTTTCATTATATGGACCAAAAACAAACAAACAATTAAGACATTTTTCAAATGATAACAGAAATGTACTTTTTTTGGGTGAACTATCTGTTTAAGTATATTTTAGTTGTATATTTTTTATATTGTAATTAATAATTAGTTATTAGTTTAATGGTGCATTCAAGTTAATAATTACACGTTGTAATTACAAGTGGGAAACTCACAACTTTCTTTGAGTTGCTTGCATCTATATTGATGGTAATTTTTTTTAATTAAGTTATTATTATTAATATTTTTACGTTTAAAGTAAATCTAGCTTGCATGTAAAAAGATATGATAGTATTGTACAATTATGATAACTAATATAATATATAAATATATTTAACAATTTAATTTGTAGCACCTTCATAATTTGAATAAAAACATAAAAAGCTAAAACACACCAGCTTTCTTTATTTGCCATTATGTCATAGTTAAAAAAATGAAATGCATTTTGATATATATTTTTTATTTACTTATTTATCTATTAGTTAGTTATTTGAGTACATCAAGTTAAACTGAATTAAAATGAGAAATATTAGCTGAAATGACATTTTTTAAATGAATTATTGACATTATTTCAGTTAATGTTTATTTTATTTAAAGTAATTTTTTTTAATTGTTTTAGTTTAGTTTTAGTTAATTACGACTTCTCAAATTGTAAATACAAACTTTCCTGGAGGACTTGAATGCACCATATGTCAAAGATGATTTGGACCAACGGGTATTCCCGCCCCAAACACACTCAACCAGACTTTCAAGCTTGATAGTGCCACAGTGTTTATACTCTTCTGGGAGATCAGTCTACAAATGACTTGCTTATAGTTGTCCCTGCAACTGTGGTAAGAGAAAGTATTTTAACAAAGTACAATACCTCACCTTTGAGATGTTTCAAAGAAAGCTCATGCTGGGAATGGAATCTTAATGCAAAATGTATTTTACAAATTCATTGTAACATTGCACTTCTACTATTATGGCTGACATTCAGCTGAACACATTTGGCAGATAAAGTCTCCAGAACCCTTAGTGAGAGCTTTTCTGTGTGAAACAGCTGCTAATCGACTCTAAAGAGGATTGGTGCTCACGTGTGGAGTCACATTGCTGTAGTAACGTCATTGCAAATGTGTGTGTCTGGGGGGAAAAATATGTGTGAAATACTGTAGAATATGACGATGGGGGTCCTTAATCTCAAGCTTGTGGTTGTTACACTTTTCAGATTAGACAGTACAGTTTTAGATCAGCCATCACGTGATTAATTGTTAGTCATGCATGAGATGAGATCTGCTTCTGCTCTCATCAAGCATTACAAAAGCCTGTCACTGACACAAGACAAAGTCACAAAGCAATAGTTTATTTCATCGTGCCACTGTGTTTTATAGCATGTAAACCCAAGGCCAGAACATTATTCTAGTTTTCAAGGCCCAGATAAGCAGCATGCTGTTGTCCATAAACCTGTCATATTCTTTCCTCTGTGAATCTGCAAACTACCTGATGCCCATCCACCCTGACAAGTTACGAGGTGTCAGTTAAATCATCAAGACAGCTGTAGGAGGACACAATGGACCAGAAGGATGACTTATATAATTGTCCTTAATCTTTTGGATGTGTAGCTTGCTTATGTTTGCAAATCTACATTTATTTTATGATCATGTAGCTTAGACCTTGTTTGACTCACTAGACCAGGATGTTTGATTATGGTGTAAAGATGACTGAACAGAGACCAAAAAGGAAGAATGACTTTCAGTTCTGCTCAAAGACTTTTAGTTCCATTTTATTTCAGCTGTCAGTTTTTATAGAAGAGTCATTAAAAATGGATGCCAAGAATTGATTTCTAAATGTGGCTGAGATGTTATTTATGACAGACATCATGCTCGGATTTAATACGTTTTCTCCTTGTTCCCAGGCACAGCTTCAGCATGGTAAACCTCCTCAAAGGCAAATCCAACCAAGCCAACCACACAGAACGGTCACCCCTTCTCAAGTTCCCCCAAAATGACAGGTGAGCCTAAATATATCCCCTTTGGTTTCACAATATTATATATTTGATGTTCTTGTTTTCTTTTCTGTTCTTCAATGAACAATTGCACAGAGGCATTGTTGTGTTAGAATAGAAAAGGGTCCTGTTCAAACTATTGGTATAAAATTAGAAGCACAATTCCCTAGAATATCATTATATGCTTAAACATTAAGATTTGTACTCGTGAAAATGACTAAAGTAGTCAAACCTGTTCATTAGAATGGGGGGTCCCAATACTTTGGGCAATATAGAGTATGTTTGATGCGGTAGGGGGCCCAACCTCATATTCTTTCATAGGGCCCAAAATTGCTAGCGGCGCCCCTGCCTGTTGACTTGGCTTTAATCAAGAAAGCTTCTGCAGAACAGCTGTAGGAATATTACCTGGGGTCTGTAATTACCGACCTCATTACCATTCAGTAATGAGAAAAAGTGGCTTTGTGACCTTCATTTCCAACAATTACTTTATATATTACCAGGTTGAAGACAAACACAGTTCCTCACATAATGTATGGCATTTTGATATCTTGAAGTGGTCTTGACCTCTATGCACTTCTTAATTAAACCAAACACTACCTGCAGTACGGTATCTGAACTCTCAGTTGTCAGACTCTATAATAATCTGTATTGATTCCAACACATTGAATATGATATCAGACTGGAGCTCATTCCAGTTTGCTCAACCAGTCAGGAATATGTTATTAGCCATGTAATTTGCATAAGAATCCCAAAATTTCTATATAAAATGTTTTTGTATTTTTGTATACAAATCAATATTTTTATGTTGGAACTATCTATAATAGTCTTCAATATTTTTGAGGCATGAGTCATTTTGTTTATTGCATTTCCCGAATTTCCTCAGCATCCTGAGTCCTTGATTCACCCATGTATCCCTATCAGAACTCTAAAGCCAGTGATTTTTATGTAACAAGAGTCATAGTCATAAGGATTACACCTGTATTTAATTTTGTTTGGGTGATATAATGTCCTCTTCAGTGGTGCATATTCCTATTTTCATGAAACGTTATTTTATCAGGTACGTCAAGAAAAATCTCGTAAAAAGTAGAATAAGTTTTCTTATGAAAATTGAAAGCTCAATGAAAGTTCAAATGGAATCAAACACAGGATTTTAATGTATTAAATGTTTGTCTGTGTAAGGGGACCCCTTATTGCAGTGTTTCTTGTAGTTCTTGTTTGCATTTTTTTAGCTATGTCAAACTCTATTGTGTAGAAAAATTAAGTAAGAAAAATACATGTGTGTGAGCAAAAATTAAATTTAATGCTAAATTAAATTACATCATTTGTCATGATTGCAAATGGAGTATAACATATAGAGTCATATAAGACATTACATTTTAATAATGAAATGCTGAATTTTAGCTTCTAGATGTAGTTGAAGTTAAAGCTGCAGTCCGTAAGTTTTGCCTCTTTGTCGCCATCTCTGTTTGAAAACCTGCAATTGCAGCTGTCTGCGGAATTATCTTCCTTGGGTTGTGCTCCGGCACGACTTCAGCGTGGATGAATCTAATTAGGGATGGGCGATACCTCTTATTTTATTTTCGATCCGATACCGATATTTTCAAGCCCAGTATCGTTGATACCGATACCTATAAACTAAACTGATCTTTAAATTATTAAAGTAATATAATCAGTAATTATACTCACTTAATATTAGATTTTAAAGCTATGTTTTTAACATTCCATAGGCCTTTTTGTTTACACTATAAGAAATAAAATATACTATAATTGTATTTTAACCCTTTACTGGGGCAGTAACCTCAAAGGTGCAAGTATACCCCTAAAAGGGAGCATATTAGTGCCATACAAGTATGAATGCTTTGAGGGTAGATAAGTTACAAAGGTGCACCTTTGAGGGTACCTCATGAAAAATAAACATGGTGTTACATAAGTACTAAGTGCATTATTATTATTATTACCATGATAAATTTGTGGTAACTTCAGTTTTACTACAAATACTGTGGTAAACTGTGGTTACTGTAATAAAACCATGGTTCATTTTTGTAAAAGGCTGCCAGGCTGTTGTACCCCTAAAGGTGAAACTTTAGCATATTTCTTTCTGACAGATTTATTAACAGCAATTACAGAACATAACACAGTCCATTTGAACTTTTAACAACCAGTTTAAATAAATGTACTTGCACAAACTGGCCAATTTAAAATAAATATTACATATTACACAAAAGTTTGGGGTCAGCAAGATTTTGTAATATTTTTTTTAGTCTCATGGTCACCAAGGCTGCACTTATTTGAAGAAGAAGAAAAAAAGAAAAAAAAGTTTGTGTGGAAACCGTGATGCATTTTTCAGAATTAATTTTATATATAGTAACAATGTAATGTAATAATGTGGCAATGGTTTATTAAGATCTACTAATGCTTCTGATGCTTTTGGGAAACGCAGCCCTATTTGAACAAGCACTGTGAGCCATGCGTCAGCAGCGAACGCTGTCTGTGATGGATTGATTCTGTCTTTCAGCATTTGCGTGTGTTCCGATGAGCTGGAGAAATGGTTCTATGCAACACAATTATTCGCTAATATAGTCTATTTTTCCACTTAGAAGCTTATTTTGTGCACTGAATTTCTTGATAAATAAATAAAATTAATGGTTAAAAAATGCACTTTAGAATCAATATTTTTATGTGAGGATTGATCCTTTCGATACAACATCAGTATCGAAAGTATCAATAGGCCTAAGTTACTTAAGGATCGATCCGCCCATCCTTAAATCTAATGTTTTGAGGTGAATGTGTGGCTGTCAGTCACCGCACCGGTGTGGATATTTACTGTACTTTGCAATCACAGATTCTAGCCTACTATTAATCACTTCCTAGCTGCAGAAGTGATGTGTTACTTTGAATCATAGTAAAAGTTATCCAAGAGGGATTGGATTTTCACAACTAAATTTAAAGGTGAAGTGTTTCATTTCAATGAGACTAGCGGCAACAAATGTGACTGCAAAAATAATGATTAAGTTTCCCGGGTCTAAATAATACATTTTACCACTAAATAGATAGTCCTGCCCCAAACTCACGCCATTGGTTGAGTCAGAAGTCAATATCTTTGACTGCTCAAACAAAGCAACATTTTGCGAGCACCACAGTGTTTAACACACTGTTGTTATACTGTTCTGTGCAGTATCACCTACATGACACTGCATGAGTCCAGCCTGGGATCTGGAGAGGAATCATGGGAGGCCAGCTCTGCTGAACTGGAGAGGAGGTGCAGGCTGGGCAGTGAGGTGGCCAGTCTCTCCCACATCACATCCATGGATAAATGTGAACATTACTTCAAACTATCATCCCCCATCAGGTACGGCATACATACACTACCATTCAAAATTTGGGGTTAGTTAAAAATTCACAACAATATTAACAGGACACGTCTGTCCATCCATCCATCCATCCATCCATCCAGTTGTGCAGGAGAACCATTGTAGAAAAGCATGTAGAAATCTATTTACTGTTGCTCCATAACTCAAAATATGCTTGTAGAATTCTCTTTACTGTAGCTCCGTAACTCAAAATTCTTGGACATTAAATGTGTTTCTGTTGCAAGGTAGATGACAACTAAACATGAACATAAATGTGCTTTTATAGGTATTGCTTAAGGACAACAAAAATCATCACCATCTTCATCATTGTTGTTCTCTGTTCAGTAAGTTTTTCAGTCGTCAAACCTACTCAGCAGCTTTTGTTATATAGAATAATATCAATTTATGATTGTATTACTTACAAATGCTCAATTATTTTATTTGTATGACACACTGAAATAACTAGATTTATTTGAATCATCAGCTGTTTTTCAGCATGTATCCAGACAGGGAAAGCCCCTGGAGGATGCTAGCAGTCTCATCCACCGAAAGCTTCTGTATCCTCCCCATTTGTGTACTTTAGAGAATCTGCATTGTTTGGATTTGCATTGACTAGATAAATAAGAATCATTAATTCACAAGTCAAATATTGTGATGATGCATGCCACTGCGCTAACTCCTCAGACCCTGCGGGGATTTTATAGTTGGTTCGGAGATTGCACTGAAGGGCTGCTCTAATTCATTTCCGTTTCTGTGACAATCTCACCATCTGCTATTTACAGCGGCCTGTGTCATGGTAACAGTCTTGCCTATGACTTTGTGCATAACAACAGATCTGGCTGATACTTGCAGCAATCTGTGAGTCCTGCAGAGCTGGAGAGATGAATGTGAAGAATGAACAATGCACTGAAGTGCTTCAATGTACCTTCTGCTGGTGGGAGGGGATTGTCTGTCCAAAATGAAACCATGGCCAGCTGACGTCTGTTTGCAAAATTTTTCCAAAACACTCAGGTTAAAGCTTGATAGATATTTAGTGTTAGTATTTTCATTTGTTTCCCTAGTTCATGGAAGTTTTTCTTAACCTAACTGATCGCTGTAGCCATGAATCTTTCTGATTTTCGTGACAACTCCCTGCTGAAGCTGCAGGTTGGTGGGCCGTTTTTGGGAGGGATAGAGGCAGTTCAAGAGGCCCAGGAGTATATTCTGATCCAGGTGGAGCAGACTGAGGAGGCGGGGTCTCGCAGGAGAAGAACTCAGCAGGTTGGAGTTGTTTCAATATATATGTTGTTTTATATTTCATTTTGTGAAACATTTAGCTTGAAAAGTGTGTTTATTCCTTAATAAAAATAGTTTGGGGTCAGAGAGATTTTTGAATGTTTTTGAAAAGTCTCTTATGCTTGCCAAGACTGCATTAATTAGAATGAAAATTACAGTAAAAACAGTAATATTGTGAAATATTATAGCAGTTTATTCCTGTGATGGCAAAGCTGAATTTTCAGCAGCCATTAATCCAGTCTTCAGCATCAAATGATCCTTCAGAAATCATTTTAATATGCTGATTATCAATTCTTATCATGTTAAAAATGTCTCTAATTTCTTGTTGAAAACAGTTGTGCTTCTTAATATTTTTGAAGAAGCCGTAATATACTTTTTTTCAGGATTCTTTGATAAGTAGAAAGTACATGTATTTTCTTATAAAAAATAAAAAAATAAAACAACTTACTGACCATACACTTTTGAATGGTACTGTATTGTATTATTTCTATAGAATAGAGTAGACTAGAATAAAAATTGAAATGTCTTTAAATGCCTTATAGTTTGATTGTAAAGGCATTTATACATTTTAAGGAGTCACTTATAAGTATCCAAATACTTTTTCAGGATGCTGTATGTAAAATGTATATAAAATGAAAATGGAAAGATTAAAAGAGATTATTCTATACATTCAGAATACAAATTATATTTTTCTAACAGGTGCTTTATAACTGGACTATACCATTGCATTCCCAACGAAGTGACCAAATTCTGAGAACAAGGACATTTGAAATGGTTAGCAGGTACGATTACACATTCCTCATCAAACAAAGACATTTCATGTTATATGGTGCACTTTATTGCATCTATTGCTCCATATAAAAAAAGCAGATTAATCACACTACTGACATCAGATTTTAACTGTGTTAATAGTTCAGTAAATTTGATCATGTGATAGTTATTTTTGCAGTAGTTCCTTTCATCGTATATGCATCTCCATCGTCTCCATTCATGCGTCTCCATCTCTCTAATCGGTATCTTTCTCTTGTCCTCCAGCGCTCCTATTCTGATCAGTGTGCAGGCCTTTCTGTTAGACGGTCAGGTGGTTCCTCTGTCCATGACTCACCAGTCACTCTATGTAACCGTGGAAACACAGGTGCTTATGGCTGGATTGATCCTGGCAGGAGTCTATGTGCTCATCATCTTTGAGGTAAAATATGAGGTGTCGGTGTGAAGACATTATTTTCACACCGCACGATAATCCATTCAATGGTCTTTCGTGACTCATTCCATATTTCATCCCCATAAACAAGATCATCTCGGCTGTTTTGCCACATTGACTGTGTGGAGTCGTCTGAGATTTGCGTGCACACATCTGTAGTCTTTTTTGTAACTCCTCAGGAAGAGTAGATGGCATGCTGGGTATGTGGTTCATAAACATTCTAAAATTGTGCTTGTAGATCCAGCACTATACTGAGATGTCCTTGGCAGTAGCTGTTCATAAATGTACAGTTTATTTTTTTAAATAAACCGCTGTCGAGCACTAGAGGTCACTGGGCTCTACCAATGTTAATAGGAAGAGCTTTTACTCACTGGGCCTCATTTACGAAACGAACGTACGACAGAAAATTGAGCGTACGGTCGTTTCAATGCAAAACTTGGAATTTATCAATATGGACGTGAGCGGTGGCTACGATCAAATCTCACGTCTGGTCTCAGTTCGTATACGCAAGTTTTTGAGTTACCTGAACTTGTGCGCAGCATAGTAAATATGGTGGAGAATTCTAGAATGACAGCGTTTTGTTCATTTTTATTTTCCTGGCCGTCAAACAAAGCTCATTAGTCGATCGTTAACCAGTAAGATTAGAATCTTTTTTTTTGTTGTTGTTTTATGCAGGGCTTTAGCTTTATATGTGTTAATAGCAGCATAAACAAGACCATGAGGATTCAGTCATCGCATCATGCACCTGCAGCGCTCCTGTGAAAGGAGAAAACAGAAATTAAGTCTATAAAAGGAATAAAATAAATAGGATCACACAAAATATCTAATAGGCTATAATATAATTAACAGATTAACAAATGGGAAAAAAACACTGTGCAACAAGTATAGGCTACGCTCGTTTTTGTGACATTCACATTTTATTAAATTTCTTTATATCTTTATTTGATTAAATCCATCGATATTTGATTGTGGTATGAGACAGGCTCGAGCCCAATGTCATTTCAGTTTTGCTTGACATATGTATGCCGTTTATAATGAATGCCACTATAACCTAATTTGTGTTTTATTTTATAGTTTAATATATCATTTTATAACTATTTACTTTTCATTCTTGTTCTGTTCTGAATACCATTACATTTAAAATATTTGTTATAGAGTGAGGAGAACAAATAGGCTATTTATATGTACCAATATTTTAATATAAATTACATAAATTAATGTAGCCTAATTGTTTGCAATTACAAGGTTAGCGGGTGTTTTTGGAGTAAGATCAATTTCTCTTTGATGAGATTACTTCCTCTTTTTGGCCGGGTTTCGTTTCTCTGTGTTGTAAACTCTAGGGGTGTGGCTTCTAAACCGGGGTGTTTTTAGAGGTGTGATATTCAAATGCCGATTGTTTTCTTCCGCCACATTTATCAACGTGCGATCATTCGTACGACGAGATTGGCGGCATACGAATGTTTCATGAATCACACGTGAACTCTGTCGTAAGTTGATTTGTGCGCACGGATCTGTGCTCGTTTCTACGTTAGATTGATAAATGAGGCCCACTGTGATTCCACAAAAGTATATCGGGTTTTTGGAATACCAGAAACTGACTTCAAATTGGATTTAGAGTGCTTGAGTTTTATAGCATGACCGAATTGTATTAGTGCAAATGCCTGAAACCAGTTTTTATTTTTTAATTTTAAATTGAAAATACACAATGTTTTAAAGCCTTTGAAACATTCTAAATGAAATATTATGAAGTAAAGTCGAGAAGAAGGACTCTGCAGTATTTCTAGGCCACGTTGTGTCATTGATCATATGAACTCCTGTACAAAATGTCAGATGTCCCTTGCTTCCACTGAAGCACAAAAAAGTCCTACTTCAATTCATGCTGGATAACATGGATCATTCAGAGTTTGTGTAGCTTGAGTGCTGCTGTCAATCAAATGAATGAGAGACAGGCCAAGACATTCTGAAATTCAAGTTAATTTTTCAATTAAACTGTTCACTCAAACGTGAAAATATAATTTGGTATAAAAAATGTAAATGATAAAAGAATACAAAATAGGACCATTGTCACTAGTGGTCTCCTTTGGACTATATGTAAAAATGTACTTTTGTGGTCTCTATTGCTCATGATACCAGTTCCCCTTAAAAATGAATAATTTCTGATTTTATATATTTATTAGTTAAAAAATTTTTTTTTGCTCACTGTACATATCTATTAGTCTGAACAACTCTTAAAAGATGTAGATTATTACAGAGCCTTACAGCAAAACACTCCTCCACATTTTTAACTTCCTCTTATCCCTATAGTGCACACTTTTTAGAGTTTGCGAGAAAGCGGCGCTTTAGTGTGGCTCCAGGGGGACATGAAGGCAGAGGGGACCTCCCTTCCTAATTACATTTATTTCTTCAGGAGGGACAGCATGCTGCGTGTCGAAGAGTTTAATTAGACCTTTGTGAGAATGCTAATGGAGACTTTGGGGGACTATGTTTCCACTTTTACCTTTAATACTAATTCTTCATAACTATGGCTACACCGTCATCAAGGAGCTGAGAAAATGAAAATTATATGTTTCTAAAAGTGAACTAATGAACAAATTTTATGTTGATTGGGTGAGTCATCGTAATTTTATTTATTGTGTTTTTAAAACAGGGTACTTGGGGAACATTACCTCTGTGATCATCTTTTTATGAAAAATTTCCCCAAACCCCAATATATATATATATTATTATTTTTTTTAAATTTTATTAATTTTTCTGACCATTTGAAAACATTACAACTTCAATCAACTGTGATATGTATATGAACTAGTTCCCAGGCTTTTTAGATATCATCAAAAAGTGTTAGAAAAACACAGTAGCTTTGTTGTCCAGCTGAGTGCAGCCTGTTCATTTTTAATGATGAATATCACATACATAACACGGCATGGCATTTCAGTAGACGTAACATAACACCTAAACAACACTTGCTCATACAGTCTCAGTCTAAATGTGTCTCTGTTCAATTATGCTTCTGTAACTTTTTGATCTTGATTTACTAGGAAATATAGCCACTATTACCCAGTCCAGTTATGATTAAAATATTGCTGCTTCTCAGGCATTGATCTAAATGGCAAATGATTTTGCCAAATGTATGTGTGCGTGCCAGAAGGAAGGTGCAGCTGCCCAGATTGTGCCTTCATAATCAGCTTTTAATAGACTGCTGAGTCAGATGATATACTACAGTACTGGACATTACAGTTTTTTTTTATTCGCTTTAGTACTATTTTCACAAGCAGCTGTTACATTTTCAAAACTCTTAGTACTAATATCACAACAGATCATCAAAAGTGCACTTTTTTCAAACATTTCAGCATATTTTCAATTGTCTTGGTGCAATACACAATCACAAAGTATTCTTTTCACTACGCAAAGTAAGTGTTTCATCTACAGGTGCATCTCAATAAATTAGAATGTCGTGGAAAAGTTAATTTATTTCAGTAATTCAACTCAAATTGTGAAACTCGTGTATCAAATAAATTCAGTGCACACAGACTGAAGTAGTTTAAGTCTTTGGTTCTTTTAATTGTGATGATTTTGGCTCACATTTAACAAAAACCCACCAATTCACTATCTCAACCAATTAGAATTTGAGATGCACCTGTATATAAATGTTTCATTCACAGTAACTGCTCTTACAATCAAACTTCTCATTCAGTTTAATACATTTGTCTATTATTTAATCTAACTCAGTGAATCAATTGGTGCATCTACAGTGGGTATAGAATCACCCCCCCTTTAAAATAATCACATTTTGTTGAATGAAGATGGACACAGTTTTTGTTTTATATATATATATATATATATATAGAGAGAGAGAGAGAGAGAGAGAGAGAGAGAGAGAGAGAGAGAGAGATATAGTTTCTATATATGGTTTGAATATGAGCAGGGTAATTCTGGCCGTTCATTCAGGGCTGTTCTGGGTTGTAACTAGTACTAATACAACATTAGGCTGTGGAAGTATAGCCTACTCTCAGAGAACTAATGCAGAGAACAGGCTTTCTTCAGCTTTCCTTAAGGCTTGTGTTGTCCTGTTTGCAATTGGCTAAAAAATTTTAGGGATAACCAAATGTAATGAATTATTACCTGATTATTGAAACCTGACAAAATCACCAAAAAACTCCCTTTGAGGATGTCCTCATTTGTAAAACTGTGTGTTTTGCAATTTGTGAACATACAGCAGGATACAAGGGAGAGGAATTGATCAGAGATTGATAAGATATATCAGAAGAAGGGAGACAGATGGCATCAAATACAGCATTTTACATTACATTATGTCATGTGATACTATATATAGAAGCATTACCATGGTAGAGACTGCACATTACTATATAAAGTTCAGCTAAAGTATAGATTCAGTCATATGGCACAGTGAGGACATTTAGTGCACTGACAGTAAACGGTTCTAGCAGAAAACCTCATGGCCATGTCACACCTTTTGATACAGTAACACATAAATACTTTTACAAACATTATGGATTTTATGTGAGTTAAGCAAGTTAGGTAATGTAAGTGTATTTTCTAGCATGACAATTATTGCTTGTATTACTGTAATTATTTCAACAACAAAGGTGATTTGAAACATATATCTTGCATTGTTTGCTCTTGAATGAACTAATTGTTAAAAGTACAAAATTGAAAGAAGATCACAATGTTGCATTTCAGTGATTAAATCATGTTCTTGATATATATTACAATAATCTTAAGTTTTGAAACAATGATTGTGTCGATGAAAATATGTGTAATTGTAATGAAAGCATGAGATCAGGTTTTGAAAGAATGACTAGTGGTGTTACAAGTGTGATCAGTTTGGATTTTTGAAATTATACACCTTGTGAAAATAGTACAGCATAGCATAATAAATTATCAGCATAGCAATTGAGGTTTGAATACAACCTAACGATCATGTTATCGAGTATAATTTGATATCTTCTAAAGAGTCTTATCTAGTGTAAGCAAGAATATCTGTCATCAATACCCCCTTTTTTTTGGCTGGTTTGATTAGTGACCAAGAATTAGTGCGGAATCTTAAATATTTCTTACATAACATTTGTAGGTTTAAGATCTTTCAAAATTATAAAACTTTGTTTATTTTATTTAAAATACATTTGATTAGCATTACAGATTCCACAGTCTGTGGTCTCAAACTTTTGGACTCCACTGTAAATAAGGAAGCCTTTGTTGTATTGACCTGTGCCTGATCTTCCTGTCTGCATTGCACAGCAGCTTGGTGATAATCTTCTGAGCTGATCTAGATCTTTGATTAAAAGAGCTCAGATGGTGAGTTTCATCAGCAGCTCTGATAGCTAAAACTCATTTGCCTCGAGAGAGGGCAAAACCTGAAATCGGAGATATATAATAGTATGATATGCTTATAAATATAAATATGCCTTAAAAGATTCATGAATAATGTAATTTTACAATCTAATTACAGATATCTTGTAAACACTTTAATAATGGCTGATAGATTATTCTTAAATTAGACTAGAATTGCGTTTTCTCAGTATCTGGGGGGCTTTGATTATAAAACTAACATTACATCTCACACAAGCACATTTTGACATTTCATTTAGCCATAAACTTTTTCTCACTATATAATTGAGAGTAATTGGTTTAAATCGCAAAACAGAGAAACGTTAGTCCCAGAGGATACTTTCTTATGCAAAGCAACACAATGCATATCCATGTTGCTGATTAATTCTGCTCAGAAAGCAGTGTTCAACAATGTATCTTAATGTCCTGTTTTAGACTTACAATCACAACATTGCACCACGTGTTCCTCCCCCTCAGGGAAGTTGTCGGACTGACATAGATTACTTGCTCCTTCGAGACTGGAGTCATTAACTGTTATCCTGCGTGTTGTGTACTCATCCCCCTTCTTTTGCTCTTCTAGCTGATTACACGGTCTTGCTATGACTTATATGGCATCTTGACACATGACACCGAAAGAGGTGCATTGGACAAAGTTTTGATTCAGGTGTTCCAGTCAAGTGGTCTCACCAGGAAAACAGATGCTAAAGATGTTGATATCTGACAGTACACTTTAAGGCGGCGCTTTTAGTTCAGAGGGTGATTGAAGAGCAGAAAACCAGAAGACGTTGTCGACTGACACATATCCTCGTGAATCTGGATTTATCATTTGATTATAAGAGTGCATAAAAGGGTCAGAATGAATTAAATGTAAGAAATGAGGTGGATCGAACATAAATGAAGAGTGGGGAAGAGGGTTAATAGGCATTTTTAATGAGCAAATTTATGCACTTGTCCAAAGGCTGTTTTACAGCCTTATGTTTTACATATTTAATAGTGTTTGCTAAGACAATCATCACTGTTACTGTTGCTGATGCGAAGGGTTTGGGATTTAAACAAAGCCCTAATCCCAACAATTTTGTGCTACGGGTGAGAATGATACCTCGTAACATGCAGCTTGTTGAAATGAGTTGTGCTATTACATTTCTAAGCAATCAGACTTATGATTTTTGCCTGCTGGATGATAAAATGGTGAGAAAACCACATTGGCTTTCAATGTAAGAAGTACCATAACATAATTGAGACTTGGGGGCATTAAGCATCCACTTACAACATCCTAGCATCCGCATAGCAACATGCTAAAACACTCAGAACACCTTAGCAACCACATAGCAATGCCCTGCATTGTGCATAGGGAAGCACAAATCTAGTTTGTGGTACATTATTATATGACCAGATTTGTAATAAAATTGCCAAAACATATTGTACTCCAACTATGATATATTACCTCTATCTTATGTTTCTTTGTTTCTTTGTTGTTGCAGATTGTTCACCGCACTCTGGCTGCAATGTTAGGATCCCTGGCTGCTCTGGCAGCACTGGCTTTCATTGGAGATGTAAGTTTTTGTTTTAGAGAATGTTATTTATTCCATTCTGATGAAGATTGCTTACATTGTGTCAAGAGTTGGACTCTGGGACTTAATTTTGAGAACTGCAGTGATGATTTTATTTTTATTAACTAAAAGTAGCCTATAATATCTCAGCATCATTATTTATATATCATAAATAATATATAGTGGCAAATTCAGATTCAAATTACAGAGCATTAGCTTCAGTATGTTATACAAACCCTGGCAAAAATTATGGAATCCCCACACTTAGATGTTCACACATTTTTTTAACTTCATAACAAATAAATGAATCACAGATATTACACGAAACTATTTTTGTTTAATATTTCAACATTCTTGTTAAGTGAAAATTACCTCAAACAAATGAGATTAAACTCAGTTAATGAATGGAAAATTGTTTTCCATATCAATGAGGGGAAAAAAATATGGAATCAACCAAAAAAAACCCACAATTATTACTTTGTTGATCGTCCTCTGGCTTTTATGATGAATTGAAATCTTTGAGGCATGGACTTCACTAATGATAAACAATATTCTTCAATATTGTTAAAACAATAAAAACAATATGCTAAGATGGTTCCAACTTTCTTGAATAGCGCTTGACAGATCAGCTTTGCAAGATGGAGCCTTGTCATGGACCAGTTTTTTCAATTTCCACCATACATTTTCAATTGGATTGAGATCTGGACTGTGTGCTGGCCAATGTGGCCATGCCATTGAGTTGATATGCCTTTCCTGAAGAAAAGCTTTAACACTCTTTGCTCTGTGACAAGATGCATTATCATCCTAAAAAATGACATCATTATCACCAAACTTCTTTTCTATCGGTGGAATGAGAAAATTGTCCAAAATTTCAGTGTACACCTGTGCAGTGACTGTTCAGGTAGGGTTGCCATTTCCCCTGGTCCTTTACCTGACATGCAACCCCATATCATAAATGAGTTGGGAAATGTCATTGTTTTCTTCAGGCAGTCATCTTTATACATTTCATTAGAACGGCACCAGACAAAAGTTCCAGCATCATCTCCTTGTCCAAGGCAGATTCATGATTCATCACTGAATATCACTTTCATCCAATCATGCACACTCCATGACTGCTTCTCTTTAGACCACTGTAACCTTGTTGTCTTCTGTTTAGGTGTTAATGCTGGTTTTCGTTTGGCTTTTCTATATGTAAATCCCATTTTATTCAGACGGTTTCTTACAGTTCTGTCACACACATTGACTCCTGATTCCAGCCATTTGTTTTTCATTTGTTTCATTGTGCATTTTCTATTTTCAAGGCAAATTGCTTTGAGTTTTCTATCCTGACGCTTTGATGTCTTCCCTGGTCTGCCTGTATGTTTTCCTTTTATAACCTTTCCATTTTGTTTATACTTGTCTTGCACCAAATTTTAGAAACAGCTGACTGAGAATATCCAACTTCTTTTGCCACACTCCATGTTGGATTTCCGTCTTGAAAGAGTTTTATAATCCTTTCCATCGTTTCAACTGACTGCTCTCTTGTTGGGGCCATGTTTCCTTTCTATTAGCCAAGTCCAACAGCTTGTTAAGGTCTGTAAGCACTCTCTTTTAACTGCTGAATAATGAGCATTTTAGATATGTGCCGGGATTTGTTTCAGAAATGCAAATTACAAGCTGATTCCATAATTTTTTCCTCAACATTGAATGATTCCATATTTTTTTCCTCTACTTGATATGGAAAATAATTTTCCATTGATTAAAACATTTTAATCTAATTTGTTTGAGGTATGTTTCACATAACCAGAGTGTTGAATTATTAAGCAAAAATGGTTTTGTGTCACATCTATCATTCGTTTATTTGGTATCAAATAAAACAATTATTTTTGCCAGGGGTTGTATATTGTAATTGATGCAATTATTTCAACAATTCAGAAAACCCAGTTAAGACTGGGATGTGAAAATGCTCTTCTGTATCTGAGGAAGGAGACAATGACTATTTCATCCCATTGTCTTTACTGTAGAGGCCAAGTCTAATGACTGTTGTGGAATGGATTGACTATGAAACACTTGCCTTTTTGTTTGGAATGGTAAGTATAATTCTAACAGGTCTAGGAGCTCTCCAGCAGTGCACCGTTTGTACTATGAACATATGATATCTCAGATCGTGTGACTTGTTGAAAAGATGTGTGCGGTTACATTTTAGATGAGATTGGATTTATAATTTTTTCCTGGTGGATAATAACGTATAATAACAAAATGTAGCTTTGATAGAATTACCCAAGCGCCAAGCCAAATCTAGCAATGTTTCAGCTTGTCTCATAGTGAATCTTTAATGTAAACTTGCCTTAACAAATGCCCCATAACCACATAACAATGAGCTTAAATCACTCGGAACACCCTAGCAATGCTCTAGCAACAACCACTATGTTTTCTTCAGAAAAAATCTAGTTATTTAATGGTTTCAGACAGCATTAGAACCTTGTCTCTGGTGTAATGAGATGATTTAACCTGCCTGTTTGGAGAAAGTTTCCCTGCTATGTGCTTGACAGTCTGACAAGCCTCTAATCCAACCATTAACCCCAAATATTTAGCCTCTTAGGCTGGTCAGCCTGCCAGGCACTTAGTGTGACACCTTTCTTTAATGTGCTGTTAACCTAGTGCTTCTTTTAGAAAGAATTCTTCAGGGGGCTGAGATCATTTATGGTGTTACTTTGAGTTGCACTTACTTTGCAGCAGCACAATCAATCGAAAGGTTTGTTAGTCTGCATATGACATTAGTCCATATTTTACATGGTACTGCAACAAAGTGTGACCAAAAAATATGAGTACAAATTAAAACACACAGCCTCTCTAATATTATTGCCAAAGTACCACCCTTTTCAAGATCTCTGTTTGTTCAGTGTCTGTCTCCATGGAAACAAATACATTCAATCAGCCCCCATCCAGAAGACTACATGTAGGAGTATTTGAGGAAAAGCATAAAAGAAAATCAGAGACTGATGATAGAAAATGAATCACAGCATCCATCAATTTTAAAGACTGACTATAAAAGAGACCGAGAGCCATTTTGCATTAAAAAAAGTTAGCTTTAATAAACTCAAAAATGTTAATGTTTCACTTTATTGATTGTCTATATTTCAAAGATGTCTGTTTCTGTATCTGAGGCCAAAAAAAAAAAAGAGAAGAGAACGATATATGTGGCATGAAATTGAGTGAGAGACCGTGTGGTATTTGAGACATAATGTGATTTTATAGCAACACATGTGGCAGTAAGCACTAAAAATAGAAACCATGAAATGTTCAAGTCTCATAACCCTTCCTCTTTTTACCTTCAGATGATACTGGTGGCAATATTCTCTGAGACTGGTTTCTTTGATTACTGTGCAGTGAAGGTGAGTTTCCTCAATCATTATGTTGAAAATGCTTATTTGTGATTTGTTTATCTCTTTAAGCAAGATACAATGTCTTGACTGACAGAGTTATTTCCTCATATTCTCTCTAAAATTAGGCTACTTAATCTATCCCATCCACCTTAGATATAATATTATACACATTTAAATACATTATATATCTACAGATACAAATACCTACTAATATTTACTCAGCAATCAGTAGGTAGCATGCTGTCTGTTATTGATTCAGTCTGATATGCATTCATTTCGCTTTATAGATGTCCCTATTTTTGATTTAGTCAATGTAATCCCATCATGCTACTTTACCCAGTAAGCTTTGGGGCAAAGAAGCAGAGCTTTACGATAGCTGTCCTGAAAATCCCTATCATTCACTCTCAAGCAAAGTGATGAGAATCCCACAAATGCTTTATATATGAAATTTCTGGGTGAATATTAAGCGCCAATCAAGCTCCAATAGAGTTGCGAAAAGGAATCAGATGGAACAAATCTTTTATAAAATGATGCAACCGTTTATAAATTGTGAATAAAATGGGTTTGAATGAAAAGTCTAAAAATAAATCATTGGATGGATATCCCTTTCCTTATTTTCAGGGATTCTGCGGACTGTTGTAAAAGACCTGTTGAAACATTATGGATGTGCTCTGGACATTATGAGGGCACACGCTTATGTCCTCTCATCCCATTTATGAATCTTAAGAGGGTTCTGGACGAGGACATGTTCCACAAATTAAAATATTGCCATAGAAACAACCCTCTTGATTGAACACCATTTCAAGACAGAATGAAGATGCATTTTGTCTTGAAATAAAAATCAGGCTTCTTCAATCCGTGTGTAGTTGTGAGCGGGTGAGTTAAGGCCCGTTCACACCAAGAACAATAACTATAACGATAACTATATTAGTGTCCACACCAACACACAATAATTTATTATAAGCGTGCACAGCACTTTCATCAGCTGGAAAAAAACATTCTGCAAGTAATTCCAACGCTATCGTTCCTTTGTGCCGTTTATAGTTGTGATATAGACTTTGATATTCTTTTAAATTTGGAATGATTTTGAAAACTATATCTTTATCATTTGCATTATTGTTATCATCCTTGGTGTGAACGGGCCCTTACTCTTTTTATTTGTCAGTCACCATATTATTGAGTCAGGAAGTGGTGATATAATCGGTGGAATACAACACCCTGCTTTACCACTTGATTAGAATGATTCCAGACAGCCTGATAATGTCTCCATAGCGACAGGCTCTTAAAGTGCAGGTCTTTTGTTTTTTGAATCTTTTCTTTTCTGGCTTAAACATTCTTTTAGCGCTACAGCCTGAATGAACAAACACACTATGGATCTGTGTCAGTTTTTAGACTGAATTCCTCATTAAAATTTACTTTTGAACATTGTGTTCTGAGACCCCCTCAGAGGACTGCTCTTGATTCTCTATCTTTGAGGCACTGTTAAATCTATCTCTCCTTTCCACTGTTTTTTTTTGTTGAAAAACATGATTTTGTTAATGTTCATAAACAAAGGCTAGAGATTTTTGTGCTTAATTTATTTTTGACCCAGTTAGTTTTCATAACGTGAAGTTGTGAGAAAAAATTCTAACTTTGTAAACCAATAATGAAGTATTCCCAACAGTATTCTGTATGTTTCCACACAGGCGTATCAGTTATCGCGAGGAATGTTGAAAAACATGATTTTGTTAATGTTCATAAACAAAGGCTAGAGATTTTTGTGCTTAATTTATTTTTGACCCAGTTAGTTTTCATAATGTGAAGTTGTGAGAAAAAATTCTAACTTTGTAAACCAATAATGAAGTATTCCCAACAGTATTCTGTATGTTTCCACACAGGCGTATCAGTTATCGCGAGGAAGAGTGTGGCCCATGATTATCATTCTGTGCCTAATTGCAGCCGTTCTGTCAGCCTTTCTCGATAACGTAACCACTATGATGCTTTTCACCCCCGTTACAATCAGGTAATGGTATCTCTTCCTAAAACAGTGTATCTTTGCTTTCTTTCTGTCTCTTTTGACCTATTTTTTAAACTTGTATAATGATTCACTTCCAATGGAAATATATGTGGCAAGCAATCGCACTGGAATAAACATTAAAACAGACTGTCCTGAGAGTGTAGCCATAATACTTATACAATCTACATGTTGAAGTTAGACTTGTGTGCCAGAATCCTCGTAAAACCTCCAGAATGGCTTTGCCTGTAGAGTTTTATTTTAAGTGCTTTGCTGTATACATGACTTTTATTTTTACAAACTGAGGGATAAATCCAGATAGTTTCCTTTGGTAACTGACAGCATGCCACACACGCTGTCAATAGAGATTAACTTGCATTGAATCTGGAGCATTCCTTTAATAGGACTTTCAAGAGAAGAAGTTTGTTCAGCTGAACTACTGCTAAAAAAAATCCCAGAAGGCCTTGGCTTTTCTCTGGACAGGAATTTCTTTGTCAGTCTGCTTAGAGTTACATGAGGATGAAATAAGTCATGTCTCCATGCTATAAACTTACCACCTCATTGCTCTTTTCAGCTTCATTTGAGCTTATTTTCTTCATTCTTTTCTCTGTTACACGTTGTCTCTCAATGTGATTCATCAGTGCCTGTGCACGTTTTATTTGTGTTCTCTGTCTTTTATATGTTTTATATCCTGATATACAGCATAATTTATTTAGCATTGTTTAGGACACCCTGTTCCTTCAGAGGACATGTGCTATGAAGCAATTTGGCATAATGTAATGTTTCATGTCCCATCCCTGTTGAAACCCAAAGACCAACAAACCAACTTTGAGTAAGGATACTTTTTTTCGTATTTTTGTTTTTTCATTCTACTGCAATATTCATCCATCAAATTCTTATCATCTTACATAGACCTTAAAAATCCCTAGTGTGGCAGGATAGAATAAATCTATATTTCACACATAACCATTAAAATGTTAGCCTCAGCGTTTTCATGACATTGCTGGTGAGAAATGACTTAATTTTTAATTGTTTTTACTATGCGTCCCCAATTGCATCTTCAAACACCTTTGGGGCTTCAGAGTTTAGAGACGCAGTACACACGCACACACACACACACGCACACACACACACACACACATGTTAAAGAACGAATGTGAGAAATTAGAGAATTCAGCTTTTTGTTAACAGGCAATTTGCTTGTGCAAGTGTTTTTTTTAATGCTAATTTTGCAGGAAAACTGATTTGCTTATCTTTAGATTTGCTTGAAATTTAGTGCTAATAACTAAACTTGAGCACAAACATGGAAATTTGTGCACCCCAGCGTAAACTTTTGCTGGTCCTAATCACATCCTCCTCCTGCTATATTTTACATTTACATTTAGTCATTTAGCAGATGCTTTTATCCAAAGCGACTTACAAATGAGGACAATGGAAGCAATCAAAATCAACAAAAGAGCAATAATATACAAGTGCTATAACAAGTCTCAGTTAGCGTAACGCAGTACACGTAGCAAGTTTTTTAAAAAATATTTTAATAAATAAAAAAAATAAAAACTGACTCTTATGAAATCTTATTTTATGGTACAGTTACAAATATGACAGAAGTAAAATACATGAGTCTGTGTAAAACTTGCAGCTGCAATGCTAAGATACTGTGGTGGTTGTCATGTTGTTGCTATGTGACTGCTAAGGTGTTCTGTGTGTTTTTTGCATATTTTATGTTCCACCAGGCAAAAATCGTGAAAGTATGATGGATTAGAAAAGCAATAACACACCTTTTCTTAAAAATGACTAGCAAGCATTTATCTGTCTTGAAGACCACTTGGAGACTACTCTATGTAACATAGTTGCATTGCATTGATGTTCCAGGAACATCAGTCCTAATCAGGTTTTGTGATGTCTTTTGTACTCAAGGTTATGTGAAGTGCTTAATTTGGACCCCAGGCATGTGTTTTATGTTCCACCAGGCAAAAATCGTGAAAGTATGATGGATTAGAAAAGCAATAACACACCTTTTCTTAAAAATGACTAGCAAGCATTTATCTGTCTTGAAGACCACTTGGAGACTACTCTATGTAACATAGTTGCATTGCATTGATGTTCCAGGAACATCAGTCCTAATCAGGTTTTGTGATATCTTTTGTACTCAAGGTTATGTGAAGTGCTTAATTTGGACCCCAGGCATGTCCTGATTGCTGAGGTAATCTTCACCAACATCGGAGGAGCTGCCACTGCTGTTGGAGATCCTCCCAATGTTATCATCGTATCCAACCAGGATCTGCGTAAAAAAGTATGTAATTATTTTCCACCGTTCTTGCTTGTTGCTGGGTCATTTATGGGTGAACGGATATTGTACTGCTGTCTTGTGCCTGTTAAGAGAGTCTCTGGGAACTTGTTGGACAAATTATACATGACTGCACAAATAAACAAAAACGCACAGACACAAGCATGTGACCAAGCATTTTTCTGGCAAAGAATGATAGCCTTGTGCCAAAACACGCTGCCACTATCTACTCAAGGCTAAAACACCGTGGCATCCTGTCTTACACCTCAGACTATTAATTATGTAGGAATACTTCTTGCCAGCTTTAGTCACACTCTTCCAAATTCTCTCTCTCTGTCTCTCTATCTCTCTCTCTTTCTTTCAGCAGAGTTGACATTTTTTAACTTCAGTAAAAGCTAAAGCTGTAACAGTCATTATGTACAAACTCCGAGACCAACCATTTTTATCTAAGAGCATGCATGATGTTTGGTTGCAAGACTTATCTCACCTGTTTTCACACTGTATGCAAAAACAGTCTTAGGCATTTAGACATTTTTACATATCATATTAGCACATTAATTACCATTTGAGTGTAAATATCCAATTCTATTTAGAGTAAATTATAAATATATATAAAAAACATCTATAGAAAAAATATAATGCTATATTAGTCAAATTCATCTTTACCTTTGTTTATTTTCTTTTTTCTTTTTTTTGGCAAATGAATCATGCTCAAAATACAAGAGTTTACTGTACAAAAGTGACCAAAAATCTGCATTTCTTGCAGACTGGGGTGTCTTTTTTCCGGAATCCAAAAAACACCCACACTGGCAAGCTAACTTTTTTCGGGTGCGGGTAGATTGTCTCATTTTTGTCAGTCTTCTCTGACATGATTTTGTGTGGCAGTAGTAGCTACACACTGTGTTCTTGTCTTTTTTCCCCATTTTATGACAGGTGGCAACTAGTGTTAAGGTGCAATACCGCCACCTACTCAACATTATCTTATGTGTGCTATTAACATGATATCAATATTTCATTTTTAAATGGTCATCGTCAATACCAGTATACTGCAACACCCCAACTTGAGCATGCGTTGTGAAACATGTCTTATTGTATGTTACTTGATGCTGTTGAAGGTACAACGAAGCAATACCTGATGAATGCAAGTGATCACAAAACATTAGGTCTGCAACATCGGCATGTACTTTCCTAACTTAATCACGGAACAGTATCACAAGAACTTTATTTTTTCATTGTAGTATATGAGTATATGAACTCTTTCCGTCAAACCCTCACTTGCAGGAAAACACAATTTAAAGTTCCATCCTGCCAATTGGACAAGGTCACGGGCAGGCTGAATAATCTCCAGGTTTATGATGTGACCTCAAATCAGAGAGTCTTGTGTGGTTCTGTCTTCATTGAGACTTGTGTAACATTGGTTTGATTGAAACGGTGAGGGGACATTTTGTGATTTATTATTCACTTTAATGGAGGATACGGAACAGGGTGAACCAGGTTTGTGGTTGTGATTGAAATGTTCATGTTCACATTCAGACAGAGATCAATGCATGGCCTCGTTGGTGGTGTGGTTGAAATCACAGAATATGTCAATTTATACTGTCTGTTTTTTTTTACTGTATTTGAGTATTTGCCAGTTTGTCTTTTTGTAGTCAGGTGTGTTGTTTTATTGCTCTTATTTAGGATTATGGATTTGAATGCAGTTTGAACGGCTAACCCTTTGAGTGCATTTCATAACACAACTCAAGTATGCGTTGCGTTCTCGGCATTGCCACAAGCTGGCATTAGCATGTCTGCTTCTGCAGCTAGTTTTCTCTTTTAGATCAGAGGAGGGACAGTTTGAAGCGAATGATGCTGAGCAAGTGAGATCTCATAGGTATGTTTACCTGAATAATAACAAATCAGATTCAGTAGCAAAGACATTTGAAGCTAGCTCTATCATCCCATGAGATTTATTATTGTCTCCATAGTGCAAGAACACACATTTATGTTCAGCGGGACTGTGCATTCAGTAGCAGAGCATTTGCATAAACTATACTTCTGGTCTAAATCATGCAGCTTGTTGAGATGTGCTATTACCTGGTGATTTACAATAAAACAGAAAAAGAAAATCCCTTAGATTTGCATTAAAATTAGGACTAGACTGAGGAAATAGAATATCATACAGACTTGTGCTGCATCTGAAAATGCATACTTCCATACTATATAGTAGGCAGTGATGGATAGATTTCTTACAAATTGTAGTCCATCCATGTACCACTTTTGATACGTACTCACTACAATGGCACTTGAGCAACCCACAAGGCATGCTGTTTCCGAGATCAAAGTTCTGAGGTACCATGCCATCACAATTTGTCCTTTATCAAACTCTGATAAATCGGCAACTTTTCCCATTCTGACACAGAACACTATACTGCTCTGTGAATATATATATATATATATATATAAAAAATAAAGAAATTAAATAAAAATGACAAATGCATACAAGAAAATTTCAAAACTTAACATTTAAAAAATAAAGCTAAAAACAATTCAAAATATTAAAGAACAAATGGTATGAG